TGACATTGATTGCTGGGTTAATAGAACAGATTCTCACAAGCTACATATTTTGTTTTCCTCTCACGACAAAAAAAAACGCTACCATGTCCATTCTGTACTTTACTGAGACACATCCAAAAATTCGAAAACACTATTGTTCTACAACAAAAATAAAATTTGATAATAGATTTTTCATTACCTGAGCATCCTTTTAGCGATTCCAAATTTGACCACTGTCCATTGGATTGGCATGTGATGTTACCACTGACAAAACTAAGACCTTTAACACAATCATACACAGCAACTGTGCCTGCCCGCGTGAAATCCTCCAAACCTGGAGACACCACGGCAGTTACTATGGCGGAGGAAAACGTTGGTGGGAAGTCACACCCTGAAATAGACATGACTTTGCTTTTAAATAGTTGAAACATTTTATATTGTTAGAAAGCAAAGGTTTTTGAAGACAAGCATGTGATTCTTATCTTGTACTTTCTCCTGAACGATAGCCAACTGGTATAACCTTCCACCTCAACCTTTTCAGGGCTGAAAGAACTTAAACAATCATGTAGTTCTTGAATCTTTGACTTTTTTTTGTTTTTGTTTTTGTTTTTTTTTTTTTTTTTTTTTTTTTTTTTTTTTTTGTTTTTTGTTTTGTTTTGTTTTGTTTTTTTTATGCTGAAGTTATGAACAAGTGCTTTAGAAGGCAGCAAATTATTTTTTTATTGCTGAAAAATAGCTTACCTTTTATACAATGGGTTTTGCCACCTCGTAGTTTTAATGCCTTGCTATCAGCAGGACAACTAGGTGTGGGTATCGGTGCCTGTAAAACAATGTCAGTCATTAGAATGATAATGAGTGCCATGTATGTCATACACGAGATTGTGTGACCGTTGTCATTATGTTCATTAGGGTCTAAAGAAAGAAATCCGCGGACGTCAGCTGTTGATAAATTGTCCCATTTGGTTTAAACTTGAGATAATCATAAGATTGACAAGCAATTGTATGTCAAGAAGTGAACTTAAAAAAAGTTAATTAAACTTTTGAAAAAATAAACTCATCTCGGGAAGACATGTGATACTTAAATTTATGTTTTATTGTAGTATTTGGTCTACTTACCCCAGGGGCGTATTTCCCATACAGACCTGATGTTTTGGAGGTGAAATAGGAAGTTCGCACAGATGACCTGAATCTTATCGAAAACCGACCTTCCCGAAAAAGGATACACCGCAATTTCTTCTTTACGTAGTTGAATGCCTTACACTGTCCCGAATTTTCACATTCTCTGGCACATTGTTGAAATCCATACGGGATAAGATCGGCAAACACGGACCCATGAAAACTTATCCTAGTCTCGTTGATGGACCGGGTCGCAGCAATGTTCGTAAAAACACAGACGAAAAGGAAAAATGTAAACTTTAGAATGCAGATTTCACTTGCCATGGTTTTTTTTTTAATTATTTATCATATGTCGCCAACAAGTAAGATCATGTCAAGTCAATGTGTTATAAATTTGTCTGAAAGTTCCTTGTTATATATTTGTCTGATCCATAACTCAAACAGTTTCTCAAATAGTTCTCACACAGTAGTGCGTGCTGGGAATGTTGTTGTTTCCTTTTCCAATAAAATATTTACACATCCATCTTCCCTTAGAAACCCACTACATCGTAGTGACGCTTTCTGCACCTCTTCCTATCACGAGCTAAAGATTAATTAACGAAAGTCGTTGATATGTAACACTTGAGTATTTGCAAAGACCTAAATCTTCTCATTAATATTACACATGCTTAACGACTAGGAACAGTCCAACCCAAATATATTAAACATGCTAAAGTAGGTATAGTAGTTATAAAACATTGTATTAACCATGCATGGAAAACGAACCTGGAATTACCATTGAATATCGACCAAACTACATGTACATTAGGTTACCGCCATAGGCCTGAGAACTGCATTCAGTACTGGAAAATAGAACCCGTCAGGTGTTTTCGTATAGGTTCGGTATGCCTCTTTCAAATAGGATTAAATATAAATATAACTTATTTAAAACATTTTAAACGAAGAATTCGTTTTTCTGAATACATTGCCGACGTACTATATGCTTATCTAGGTATGGAAAGTTAATTTTCGTTTATAGAAATTAGAGTTGTCCTCCCCTTTTGTATTCTCACAAAATAACAAATACTGCAACTAACTGTGGTATGACATTCTCGTCACGAACACATGAAATAAGATTTTTTTTTCGTGGAGATTATAAAATGCAAACTGCGTTCGACACCTAGTAAGGGAAGAAATTACTTTTTTTTTTTTTTGTTATTTACTTTAAAAATAATTTAACAGATATCTGTTCACGCTTGAGGCTCGAAGTCCACGGTGCCCCATAGAAATAGCTGTATATTGTATATTCGTGAGGGGGGGACTGTGGCAATGATACGGATTTGTTGACGGGAAGTTTAATATAGAAAGATGGCTACTACTTATCTGAGGAAATCCTTGTGGAAATGCCTTTCACTTGTTCGTTGATTTTATAAGTAGCAGAGACACTTGTTTTTTCGTAATCTCTAGGATGTTAATGTGCTAATAAACTTAGATTTACTTCTTTATGGAAATGAAAATCTGTGTCGCAAGACTTTCACCCATGAGTCCCATTGTAACTTTATTTATACAATATTGGGTACTGCTGTAAAAGTCTTATCAAAGCTGTTTGAATCAGCAGGAATTTGCTGACATATCATCCATACAAAGTTCCCCTGTAGAAGAACCGTTTTGCAAATGTCGAATATATATATATACAGTATTGTTATTTTTCTTTTTGTTTTTTACTTGGTTAAATAGACATTACAAAAACTTTACATGTTTGATTTCACTGACATGTTTACAAGTTTAATTTCAATATTCCTAAGTCGTCATACAGCATACAGTTCAAAACTCAAACAAAGACACATTAACACATATCCTTCAACCCTCCATTACACACACACACACACACACACACACACACACCCTCACATCCTCCATGTCACATACGTACACATACCCACACACACACACACACACACACACACACACACACACACACACACACACACACACACACACACACACACACACACACACACATTCACACATACACGCCCACACACACACACACACACACACACACACACACACACACACACACACACACACACACACACACACACACACACACACACACACACACACACACACACACACACACACACACACACACACACATACACCTTCACACACACACACCCTCACATCCTCCATGTCACATACGTACAAATACCCTCACTTTCATTCGTTATACAAATATAAATACTGTTTGCATATAAATTTAACATGCTGAGACATGTTGGGGGTAAGAAATGCTTACATACTGCCTAAATTCCTCTGTTGATATGAAACTATTAAAAGAACAGACTTTGCTAGCTTGTATCCCGTGCTTTTAAATATGTATTTTTGAACCGTGTGTGTTACACTTTTACACATGCGCAACAGCAATAAAGTATATTATGACAGTCGATTGGTTCATGGACTTGTGATATGATATCGCGCCATTTTGACTGAATAGCAATTTCAGTGCATGTGGACAACATCTGCTCTGGTAATGACAAAGAAGGAATTGGTAGTGAAATTATCACATCAGCGTGAGATATTCCAACTGAAAAATCTTAAAATGTCGCTTGTTTCGAACATTTCAATCGGAAACACCAATCAAACGGTGAATACATAGTTAAAATATTGCGAACATTTTGGTTACTCTGGTAGAAAGTCATCAAGGTAATCGTTACAACTGTTTTCCTTTCTTCTTCTTCTTCCAAAACAAATATTCATGTTCAACGTAAATTTGGATGTGGAAGCTGTCAAGTGATGTCAACTCACTTCATTACTAATGATAGTGTACAGCCTGTCCGTCTTTCACGAAGACATTCGATCTCTGAATACCTGATAAGAACCAAAACGGGATCGAGTAACTTGCCTGACAACAGGAAATACTTTTACTATTTTCAACACTTTTGAAAGTGTGAACAGTCTACTGACCAACATTTATAGAAAGACATTTGAAATAGGTAGATGCTTTCGATAATTATTGAGTCGAGTTACTTCAAGTTAAATGATATGTGAAGTATGTTCAGCAAGCAACGCCGTCCTCTTATTTGTGGGTATTTGTGTACTTATACGTGACGTCACTGAAAACAACGGATTTTAAATATAACGAAATCCCGCAAACGTAAGTATGTCAGTGGTTAATTGAAAATTATTCAGCTTTCTTCTACTTTCCATTTTGAAAAAGATCAGTTATGCTCATTATGTATGTTATTTATTTGCTTGATGTGTTCTCGCGTGAAGGTAGTTTTGGTTACAGTATCTAGACGTTGTCTGCCTGACAAATGTAAGTGTTATCCCCCTCTATTATACTCCATATACTGAATCTGTTTGCAAACACTAAAGCTCAGGGGAAAACTTGCCAACAGAAGGCCAAAAATGCGAGTGTCGTTTTTACCTCGTGCCATGCTACGCAAAATATCATATGGTCATATTACACTCCGTGAGAGATCTTTACAATGTTTGACTCTCTAACAAATTTACGCTGATACGAGAAGCTTACATTTGACATCGACGGTCTCAAAGTTTGTTGTCGAGCTGACGACGCCGCCAGAATCAGCAGGCATGGTAGCCCACGTAGCAGCTATTGCGTTGACGGCCTTTATGATATACACTGCCGTTCCTGGTTCCAGTAAGTGTGTTTCAATATATTTGTTCTAGTGATTCTGTCGATGCGTCGTGTTGAATCGCTTACTGGAATGCACATGACAATGTCCGGGTCCAGAGTCGATTGAGCAATAGATCGACCGGGCCAGCCCTCGGCCCATTAGTTTCGGATACCTTAAGAATCATTTCTCGCTAGCAACACCATATGGACGAAATGTCATCAAACAGATACATAATTTTAAATGTGTTCGTACTGATCGATGAAACACAAGTTTTCTTCTAGAAAAATATCCACAGATCCGACCACAAATTTGCTCACCTGAAATGAATGCACTTCCGTTTCTGATGATAAGGTTAATTTTCCATCTCTATATTTACAGCTCGCTGGTTAATTACAATCAGAAATAAGTTATCAAAAGTGATAATTAAAGAAAATCAGTATAAGACGTGCATGTTTGGATTTCCGTTGCCAAAAGTGGCAAGAAAGCGTTGCCTTTTATCAGAGACATATATATCACGTGATATAATATACGTATCTGCTTTTATTCATGGTCGATTTTTAATCACATGACAGATGACTACAAAACACTGGCATCCGAGGATGGATTGATAGGTTATTTCATCATATCTGTGAGGATGTTTGACATGAAGAAAATCGTATTAAGAAAAACACATAATTATCCGAATGTAAGATAACAAGGGTCATGCTCGCTAAAATGGTCGTTCCGAAATACATAAAGGTCCATAACTGATGTCCAGATGATACTTTAAGTTTAGGATACTGTAGATTACACAAGTATACCAGTGATGAATCTAAGTATATAAGCCAATCACAACAGGTTCGGGATAAGTTGATTTTTATTAGTGTGAAACGTCTACCAGTTTTGCCCGAACAGTGGGCTTCTTCAGGAAAAATTTTTACCCCTAAGGTACTAAAAATCAGGAAAAGGTTTTTATTGTTATTTGTGACGTCTTACAATAGACATCACATGATTATAACGATAAATCAACTTATCCTGAACCTGTTGCGATTGACATATGTACTTAGTTTCCCCTATTCTTCAATCGCCCTGCATACTGGGTGGTATCCGGGCAAGGGATATAAAGAACCAACAGAACCTCAATAAGAATGTACCGTGTTGGTGCTACCCCTGGATTTATATGGTGATCTACATGCGAGTCCTGAGAATTTTTTGGAAATACTTAAATTTTGTATTATGGGACCCATTAAGGTTGAAAAGGACTTATGACAAATGAATTGTAGATTGATTACTATGTACTTCATTTACATATTTATAATTGAGGTTAGATCTGAAAATATTGTCACAAACTTATGATTATGTGGTGTGAATGATGTACGAGCATGCATGAGCGAATGCCGATATTTATTGTAGTATTCGTAGTCATGCCGTTGTCCAGGTAGGTGATCTATTTTTGGCCACGTCACCTGTACAACCGGTCCGTGTACTTGTGTGTGACGAGTCGTCCTTTGTGTTTCGAATGTGTGTGACAAGTGGACTTATATTGTGCTTTGTAATGGGTTTCAGAGTGTGTAAGTCAAGTGGCCACTGGTATGAAAGTTGACTTCGTGAGTAGTGTTCCTTTGTGTTAGCAGACAGAGCTTGGACTCCCAAGAGTGCAGACGTGTTTATGACACTCTGTTTTTATTGGCTTTGTCTCTTCCCCATGAACTTATTTATCTGTATGTACTTTATCTACATGTACTATGATAATTTTAAACATGCTGAATACAACGTTTTAATTATATCTGTATCCATGTGTCCTAGTCGTATCTGAAGTTGAAGTGAACGGAGTTCCACTACGCGTGCCCTAAATCTAAAGGTGACAATGCTATTTGTCACAGTATTTAGGAAAAATGTCTTAAATGAAGGATACTACAACTAAATATGAAGAATATACCCGACATATGATCTGATGGCCTGTTGATGCTTAATAGGCATACATGTACTTTGACCAGAAATTTAGTACTTTTTTAAGATGTATGGAATGACATACTTAATAATTTATAGTTACTTAGAGTTAGTTTTCCAATACAGAACCATTGTTCCTCTTCACCGAACAGGATGTTTGTTTCAAGTAGGTCTGTCATTTCCTGGGAACACTTTCGATCTCTGCTCTATAGTTGTGTGCATCAGTATTTGATTTTTCAACACCTTGTCAGATCTGTTCTTAATGTATTGGTTTTTGGTGCTGTGACTAATTTTCTGGAAAATTATTCTGTATATTCTCCACACTCTCAAATAGTATGTGCTGTTTCATGTGCTTGTTTTTTACCCTCAGTGGACATATTTTCATAGAGTTTCCTTTGAAGCTGTTTCTGGCTCGTTCGAGTTCACAATATCATGTCACAAATATCACCAATCACACAGTCCATATGTGAACATGTATGCATATACAAGTACCCAGTATACTTTGGTAATAGGACATCACACTATAAGTTAACATTTTTAGGTCATCTGACCCGAAGGGTCCGATGACCTATAGTCATCATGCTTCGTCCGTCGTCGTCCGCCGTGCGCCTTGCGCCGTCCGCCATGTGCCGTCCGCCATGTGCCGTCCGTAAACTTTTCATTCAAACGACTTCTTCTCAAATACTAGAAGGTCTAGGGGGCTAATACTTGGCACAGAGGATACTGGCATGGAGCTCTACCAAGTTTGTTCAAATGAATGACCTTGACCCACTTTAAAGGTCACAGGGGTCAAATATGTTAAAATCTTTAAACAACTTCTTCTCATTAACCAAAAGGCTCAGAGTGTAGATATTGGGCCTGTGTCATGCTGGGATGAAGAACTACCAAGTTTGTTCAAATGAATGACCTTGACCCACTTTAAAGGTCACAGGGGTCAAATATGTTAAAATCTTTAAACAACTTCTTCTCAATAACCAAAAGGCTCAGATTGCTGATATTGTGCCTGTGGCATGCTGGGATGAAGGGCTATCAGGTTTGTTTAAATGAATGACCTTGAACAACTTTCAAGGTCACAGGGGTCAAATATGTCAAAATCTTTAAATAACTTCTTCTCAAATACTAGAAGGCCTAGGGGGCTAATACTTGGCCCATAGCATGCTGGCATGGAGCCCTACAAAGTTTGTTCAAATGAATGACCTTGGCCCACTTTCAAGGTCACAGGGGTCAAATATGTTAAGATATACAAAGGACTTCATCTCAATAAGCAAAAGTCTATGAGTGCCGATATTGGGTCTGTAGTATGCTGGGAGGAAAGGCTACCAAGTTTATTTAAATGAATGACCTTGAACAACTTTCAAGGTCACAGGGGTCAAATATGTCAAAATCTTTAAATAACTTCTTCTCAAATACTAGAAGGCCTAGGGGGCTAATACTTGGCCCATAGCATGCTGGCATGGAGCCCTACAAAGTTTGTTCAAATGAATGACCTTGGCCCACTTTCAAGGTCAAAGGGGTCAAATATGTTAAAATCTTTAAGCAACTTCTTCTCTTGAACAACTTTCAAGGTCGCAGGGGTCAAATATGTCAAAATCTTTAAATAACTTCTTCTCAAATCTTTAAATAAGCAACTTCTTCTCAATAACCAAAAGGCTCAGATTGCTGATATTGTGCCTGTGGCATGCTGGGATGAAGGGCTATCAAGTTTGTTTAAATGAATGACCTTGAACAACTTTCAAGGTCACAGGGGTCAAATATGTCAAAATCTTTAAATAACTTCTTCTCAAATACTAGAAGGCCTAGGGGGCTAATACTTGGCCCATAGCATGCTGGCATGGAGCCCTACAAAGTTTGTTCAAATGAATGACCTTGGCCCACTTTCAAGGTCACAGGGGTCAAATATGTTAAAATATACAAAGGACTTCATCTCAATAAGCAAAAGTCTATGAGTGCCGATATTGGGTCTGTAGCATGCTGGGAGGAAAGGCTACCAAGTTTATTTAAATGAATGACCTTGAACAACTTTCAAGGTCGCAGGGGTCAAATATGTCAAAATCTTTAAATAACTTCTTCTCAAATACTAGAAGGCCTAGGGGGCTAATACTTGGCCCATAGCATGCTGGCATGGAGCCCTACAAAGTTTGTTCAAATGAATGACCTTGGCCCACTTTCAAGGTCACAGGGGTCAAATATGTTAAAATATACAAAGGACTTCATCTCAATAAGCAAAAGTCTATGAGTGCCGATATTGGGTCTGTAGCATGCTGGGAGGAAAGGCTACCAAGTTTATTCAAACGAATGACCTCAACCCACTTTCAAGGTCACAGGGGTCAAATATGTTAAAATATACAAACGACTTCTTCTCAACAAGCAAAAGTCCATGAGTGCTGATATTGGGCCTGTAAGATGCTTGGAGGAGAGGCTACCAAGTTTGTTCAAATGAATGACCTCAACCCACTTTCTAGGTTTGGCTTGCTTTTTGTCAGATGACCGTTAAGGCCCATGGGCCTCTTGTGATGTATGTTTAGGTCTATACCAAGTATAGCATGAATGATCTGGTAGTTTTATACTGTAACAATTTAAAATCTAGCTCAGTCTAACTCTGTTTACTGGGTTTATTGCCCTGATAACTGCCAACCGTTACTTTGAGGCAGGGTCTATTTGTAGTAGCTGGTGGCTGTGTCACTGAACAATATATGGGAGACCCCTCGTATGTCATCCACAGCAGTTGGGGTCTTGCCTAAGAACACAATCAGAACAGAACAGACTAGGCCATTTCTTAGCTTTCCGGGAAACGCAAACTGCTACGGGTGTGGAGTGGCTAATCTTGGATCTCCGACCGAAATTATATACACACAATGCACTAACTCTTTGATGGGAATGTCATTGTTAGTTTAATGTATCATAAATAGACCATCTACCTCTGAAACACTGTTTTCAATTTTCACAATAATTCATGGAAAAAGCCTTTGGACATTGCTAGCCATTCCATTAGAGTCAAACAATAGATGTATTTGGTCACAATCTCAACCCTCATACTATGTATAATGCTATTTTTTTTCTCCAAAAACCAAGTGATACAAAATAAATAGAATGTATTTACTTCAAAACTGGAGAAGTAATGACAAAAAGACAAACAGTTGTTATTGGGGATTTGCTGATTAATTCTATTTAACATAATAATTTTCATATGCACAAGAGCCTGATGTATTCAAACTCATAGTTACTGTCATTGTATTATGTGTACCTCCAATGAGATGTTGAAGGATTTTGACATTGTTTGACATTTTCCTTATATTTTTCAGGTCTCTTTTCCTGGCACCCAACCTTGATGACAATAGCGGTAAGAAATGATCATTTTAGACGTTTATTGATTTTGATATTTTCATAAAGTATATTCTTACATAAGTCATTGTTGTTGTCCATCTATAATGATCAAGGTTAAAACATCTTAAGATCCCCCTACTGATACCAACTTATTTATTGTTCATTATTTGTCCTGATAACCCAACCATATTTATATTGATGTTCAATAAAATTAACATCAAATGCTATTTCATTGTCCTGCATCAAGTTCAATTCCTAATTTTGAATCAGAATTTGAATGTTGCCCCGGCTTTCCTCTCACAATAAGGCCCCTTGTACACTTCAATTAAGTCTGGGCCAACAAGATTTTAGCTTGTGAACAATTTTTACATAAAGTGTATGCATAGTGTACAACCCCAAACCTAGGGCATTTAATTGTGAGCACCAGGACCTGTTAGTTTAAGTGCTTGAATTTGCTCCAACTTGGAAACAATGTTATTGTTTCAAATAGCCATGCTGTATCAGTCAGATATGAGTGAGAAATAATTTCCAATATTGTAGAGTCTGTGCACCATATGAAAAGTGAAGAAAAGATAATTTAGGAGCAATACACAAAGGTTTTTTTACCCAACTTCATTTTCAAGCACTTCAACTTATGGTCCATGATACTCACTCTTCAGCAACCCTAGGGTAGGGGTTGGACACTTTGTTATCACCGATATATCCCTTAATGAAAAATAGTTTTTAATCTTTTTGTTTTATACATATATTTTGTGGTTGTTTTTAATAAAATATTCTCACAAATGTAGACACTGGCAAATATTTCACAACTGACACACACAGCCACTCCCTTTAACAGGGTGATGAGTGTTACCTGGTATTACATATTTGAATGTTAAGGTTTAGAAAATGATAGAATTTGCCTGCAATTAGTTATTAAACATAGTGTGTTATCATAAAAAAAATCATGTCTAAAAAATATCTTTCTGAAAAAAAGTTACGTACATTCATTAAAGAAATTATGTATGTTCTCCTGAGCAGTTTTTGGCTTTTCAAAATACATTACATCTATGTAATACATTCTTCCCTCTGTATAGTCACACATGTATACTGTATATGCATTGTATGTCTCTCTATACCATTTGTAAAAGTGTTAGGGTATTAATCAAATTGTAAATTCTCAAAACGATTCACATACCGTATAGTCGGTAATACTTGTGAGGAATTTAACTATGCTATATTCAGATAATTTACTAACGTAAGAGGAAGCTCGAAATTGAAAGTTCATCACAACTCTGAAACATGCAAATGAAATAACTATACAGTATACTTTAGTGTATTAATATTGTGAATAAGTATTTATGTTTTATTAATAATCTTTAGTTACCGGATTTTTTTTCCTGTCTGTTTTGCAGTTTATGCTGCTGATGTTTGAAGCAATCATTGTATTCTCCAGAGAGAGCTCTCTGATTCAATCTAGCTCACGTGTTGCTAAGGCAGAGGTGCATGCCTGGGTCATGGGCATAGCTGCAACGTGTGCCTCATGTGGCTTCGCTGCCATCTACGTCAACAAAGACCTAAACCATAAAAGTCACTTCATGACATGGCATGGCTTTATAGGCCTTCTCACCCTGTGCTATGTCATGCTGCAGCTAATCGGAGGAATACTTTTAAAATACAGTGGTATACTACGAAGTTTAAACATCCAGATAAGATTAGCTGATATGAAGTTATACCATGCTACGTCAGGCTTAGTTTTATTCACAGCTATCAGTGTTACTCTAATCTTGGCCTTCTGGTCCGACTGGTTCGTCTCACAAACCAACGTTTATACATGGTATGCATGTTTTATGGCCCTGTCCTGCATTGCAATGATTGTGATGATGCAGATTACATCAACCTACCTACCTCAAAGCCGACGACCCGGAATAGCATTCAACAACGCTCCAGCCCGCAAGCGAAAAAAGCAAAAGTAATTTTGTACATGTCATCATCATTTCATGTATTTCTATTGTTTATACTTTCAATAAATGTTATTTATACAGATGTGTTTGTGTAATGTTGTGAATAAGCATGTGACTTAACATGTTTTCTCCCAAATCAAACATCTTGGATAAGAGATCATCTACAAACCTATTCTATGTGAAGTCAGTTTTGCTTTGTTGCACCTACAAAAGTAGTAAATAGTAATTGCAAATTACTTTGTGTGTTTGTCTGTCCTTCAGTCCATGCTTTTGTATAAGGCTTTGTGTGTTTGTCTGTCCTTCAGTCCACGCTTTTGTATAAGATACCTCCTGAACCCATCAATAGATTTACTTCATAATCTGATCATCAAGTTCTATGCTCGATTTGATTTTAGAGGTCATCAGTAAAGGTTTCAGGTCAAAGGTCACACATTACCAGTTTTGAAACAAATTATTGTGTTGAAGATATCTCCGATGTAGTTCACATTTATTTACATCAAAGCTTCACACCATCAAGTTCTACACCTGACAAGATTTTAGAGCTCAACAGTGAAGGTTAAAAGCCTAAGGTCACTCCTGACCATTTTTGAAAAAAAACAAAACAAAACAAAAATTTGTGTACAAGATGCAATGTATCTCATGAACTCTCCAAATAGATTTACTTAAAGTAATGATCGGGGAGGAGGTGGTACATATCCATGTTAGCCCCATATTTTGTTTTTACCAATTCCACATTTTTTCTGTATTCATCCGAATGTTTATAAAGTCTTCTATGCATCTCAGTAATTGGTATATCAATCCTGCCTGATCTTTCACACGTACAGCTGTTCATTATTACGTTCTCACATGAAATATAAATATTTTTTATTAACATCCGATTGAAACGCCATGGACTCCAATGCAGAATGTAAATTTCTGATTTGTTGCAGTTTTATAAATTTTGATAGAATTGTCCTGCCCACAGAAGAATTGTACTGTATAATCTGACCTGGTGTGCTGAAAATGATGATGGTTTGTTGTGTTATTCCCATGTCGTTTTTATGATTACAGAAGTTGGGGTATAGTGTCGGCCATAACCCTTGCTCCCATCTTCGTTTGAAGCGGATTTTTTTTTGTCTCTATATATTTCATTTATTCACGTGAATTTGATCAAATGTCAACTGTAACACTACCCAAAAGAATATTTTATAGAATACATTTGATTTATTTTACTTTATTCCGGTGTTTGTCTCTATCCTGTTTATACCGATCCCATACAAAAGTTGCAACGTCACCGCATCCTGTACATTGATATCACCACACAACTAAGCTTGACGTCTTCCTGGGGCAGATTGCCAATTTATAACGGATATTTGGAAAGACACGAACTCGTTACTTATAGATGGAAACAAAATGCGGTCATCCTCTTTTAACTCCGCACAAACAAGAAATGACCACGTGATCCCAAGAGACATCCCTTAATACACATAATTTTATATCTAGATAGGCCTTGGCGAGTTTACTCGGACATTGTTCTCAGTCATCGGTTCATGAGTCACTCTGGAATATTTTGAATCTTTGGTCACTGTAACCTAATTAATTGTGTTTTCTTCACATTGTATGAACTATTTGACTGCCTTGAACAGTAAACGAGAATTTTTGCTACATAACCTTTACCCTGTGAGAAATCGACCTTCTAACAGATATAAAATAACACAGCATTTCAGCATTCCTCATTTGATTGTTACATATTGCCAATTTGCAATATTTAATCGCTCTCAGTTTGAAATAATCAATTATTATCATAAACTCATAATGGTCGCTCTCCATACCTCAACATAACACTTTATTACAAATAAATAATATACAACGAAAAGTCTATGATAAGTCCCATTTTGTCGCTCTCCTCTGTGCACCAATTTCAAGCTCATCGTAAATCGGTTCGGTGTCCTTAGTGAAAACAAAACAGTTCTACTCCATTCTCGGGATTCACTTCACAGTGTTTTGTCATCTCATTCTCAGTTCCGAATACCATAAGTCACGTTTGTATAGGTTTTTAAATATATCCCTGAATCCCCGTGTTATTCGGTGACATACACAATAAACCTGGTAAGATGAAATCGTTGATAACACACATATATAAAGCACAATGTTCTAGTGAGGTATTGATGTTGCAATATTGACGTAACAATCTGCTCTAATTGGTACCTAAGTGACTTTTTCTCTTTGTCTTGAATAACGGGCTTTGAACGAAGCCTTCATGGTAGCTATTTTTATCCATTCCTTCCAGACAAACCTTTGATGTTATTCCGAGCACCAATCGCGTCTTCAAGAATTTATACTTCCACATCTATTTCCGCTGCAGACTCGTCTCCGTGCCCGTTTTTGGGCAAAGGGTTAAAACTCATCAGTATCCAACTGAACTGTTGGTGTTATTATCATTATTATTAAGTAGCGGCAGATCCTAGTCTCGCTTTCAGAATTGACGCATATGACTTTCTGACTGCTGTCCGAGTGGTCCACATTGACGAGGTCTGTTCAGCTGTAAGGCGATGTCCATGAGCTAAACATGTGAACCTAATACGGGTTGGAAGAGATGTTGTACTTTTTAAGTGTAAACATATGATTGGAATCAGTTAAAAAAAAAGTTTGTTGTTTAAGTGAACTCTTCATCCGTAACTACTGGTGACATATTAAGTCTGTTCAAGCTGTGGACAAACGCACTTTTATCCGTAACTGCTGGTGGCATAGTAAGTCTGTTTAAACTGTGGACAAACGCACTTTTATAACTTAATTTTTTATTTGCAAATATCTTCACAAGCACAAGGTTCCAAAATAAATTCTGTCAAATGAAGAGTAAGAAAAACAAAATGATATTTGGAAACTGACTCATAGTCTACATAAGCAAACTTTAAGTAATGATATTAATTAGTTTGAATACTTGGTATGATTCTCTTAAACATGTAAACATTACTGAACACAGCGAGTCACGTGATTTTGTAAGTTACTGAAAATGAAACGTGTTCTGCTGTCAGTCTTTTCAAAATGGCAAATTGGCTGGTCAAGATGATATTTTGAATAATATATACAACAGACTATCGATATTTTACACACTGTATGTCTTTTTTTTTAAACGAAGATATTGATTCCGATACTTGGTCAAACCGTGTTATTATACCGATATACAAAAAGAGACGTTGAATTTTGCCTGAAAATGATCGACCCATTACAATACTTAACTGCATGGGTAAACTATTCACCGCTGTTTTAAACAATCGTTGGACGTGGTTTTTTTTTCAAATAACGAAAGTCTTTGTCCGGTCTGGCGATCCAGATTTTGGGGATAAGCTTATAGAATATTGCAGAATATGATCATTTTAACATTGTTTTCCAAATGTTTCAAAATATTGAATAATGTGTGAAGCACAACGGTAATGTATCCCAATATTTTTATTGCCATTCTGGTGTACGACAAGGCGAAAACCTGTCTCCTTTTTTCTCTTTGCCATTTTTCTGAATGACCTTCAAAAAATAAACAGAATTTATTAACAGAATATATTGACGTCATAATTCTGTTATATGTATATGATTCTGTCATTTTTGTAGAAAATGCCACAGAAATGCAGATATCACTGTCGGAGTTTTACAAGCGTGTTGTATACATTGGGAGTTGTTACTAAATACAAAGATTATCTTTGGCTCAATGTGTATTACAATACCGTAGATCTAGTTATCTGATAACTCTGGAAATTTCTGATTTCTATGAATACCCTGGTTTATAGCTGTTTCGAAAGTTTTTGTGATTGAAAGTATTGTTAATGTTAAACGAAATATACCATTGTATATGCTGTACGAGATATTAGGACTTTTCCCTTTAATGATTAATATTAAGAGTCTCTGGTCAGTGGTAATCGATATAAGTGTATAATGTCTTATTGACTGAACACATTGGTGGTTTTTATACCAATAAACAGATAGCTTTTGTCGAAAATATTTTTCAATGGCGCTAGTTTCAGTTACGTATGTTTGTCTCAAAATAACCAGTCAATACAGCAAGAATTTACATCTTGTTTTTTTAGAAGGACTTCATAAATATTCACAAATATAAAATGATACTGTTTACCATTTTTGAAAAAGTTTATGCTATTGACCGTTAAAAGATCGTTTAAATTTAGAAAAAAAAATGCAATTTTAAACGACTGAAAACACCTTCAGAAGGTATCGTACAGGTAACCATTGACTTCCAATGGAAACTGGAAGATGGGAAAACATTGCCAGGAGAGAACTTATCTGTCCATTGTGATATGTCAGCGCTACTGATGGTTCAATATATACCAACCTGCTCATATATCATTTACTGTACGACTCTTTCATGTGACTGGGTGAAGGATATTCCTCCCCAAGGTCACACAGTGTCGTAAAACTGAGGCTTTGTCAAGGATTTTACCACATTTTGTGATCTCGAGGGCGAAATATCCCATCCTTCACCCCGATATATGAAAAAGTATTTTTTTTCTTGTTTCTTATCCTAAAATATTAGGACAAATTAGCTTCAGATGTTGACAATGTACTTCCAGGTTGAAGACAAAGGAAAAAGCTGTATTATAATAACTATGATCATGTTATGTCATTTTATCTTGTGTTATATGAAGTTCAATGCTTGAGAGTTTGCATATTGTTTATTGCTAATATCACGATTCTCATTTTGAGAACGTTGCATGGATTTGATTTACAGCGATTTACAAGTCGGTGAAGGAGACTGGTGTTTCTCTACCAGAACAGGTAGTACTATTTTCTTAGTACTTTTTCTGAGCATCTATATAATATGTTCATTGTTCAGTTTACCAATGTTTTAAGAGTCGATCTCTTTGTTTGTGTAATCAACATAATTTCTCATTCAATGACAATTTTTAAGAAACAAATGCAAATAGATATTTGCTCAACTGTGTTATCTGATAAAAATACTTAAGTTGTAGCGGAAAAAAACAACAACAATGATTTGATTCTTATAGAATTTTTAATATATATATTTCAAGTTTTAAAAAGACTGAGAGCATAACATCTCACCAACAAGCTGCCATCACTTAAATATGACTAACAAGTACTTCATCACTATCTAATACACATGTGCTGCTATCACTCAAAAAGGTTTCTGCCAGACACCCGCTATAACACTGACACTCCCCAAACACCACACGTAGTCAAACAACCACCACTCTCGCCCCACAATATCCACACAGTTGTGTTTTCCTCCTGATACATCTGTGTCCACATATCCACATAAACACACTGGATTTCTCTATCCACTGCCACTTAATGTAGTTTCTCAATTTTCTACTGGTGTATTTTCCTCAAACTATTAGTCCAATAATACAGAGACCTAAATATAGATATGAAAATACAAACAAACGAAATAGATGACTGGTATATCTCGAAATTTGTAATAATAAGTATGTCCTGGTCAGAAAGAACTACTATTGGAGACAAATTCCTGGTCTATGTTAAATTTACCTACGGTTCAAATCAAACCACTTTTTACCATCAAATCTCATGCAGTACAACTTTACATATAAAATTATTGTTTTTCCTCATAATAAATTGATAAGATCTTTTTTTCCTATCACTCCATAGACAAAATCCAGGGACATAGCTCCGAAACATTCCTAGAAATTTCCGTCCTAAAATAATCACTGCTTTTCTGACCTTTATAAAGCTTAAACCTGTTGTCCGTCTTGATGGTAGTTGACCTCTCTGACTCTAGATTATTATAAATTGCTAACACGAACTATAGTGTATATTTTCTTACTTAAACACACCCAATATAGCATACTGAATATTTTGTATATATATTTGAGCAGTCACAAAAGTCTTCTATCAATTAATAATATTCTAGTTATAAAATATTGATATGACTAGGTATGTCTAATCTCAAAAAATACTTCATCTGAATGCTGAAGACATAGGACTGGAAATATACATCTCTCACCAGCAACATCAGGCAAATCATTCAAAGGGAGATAATCACTGCAGTCTACTATGTATCTGCAACATAGTTTTGCCTTTTTGGATGTTGGAGACAAGACTGTTGATTATTTCTTTGTTGTCAAAATAGCAGAGACAAGTTTGTTGTAAACAAATATTATCTTTTCATAAAATTATATCTGAATTAAGTTTAAAAACTAATGAATCAAATTTGAAAATCTATAATCTAGGTGCATACACACTAATTGAATTGCCATTATAAGACGAATAAATTTGTCCATTAAAAAAGAAGCGTAAAAATATAGAGTCACAAATTTAACAATCCACTAATTCAAAGTTTCTGCTAAACCTTAAAAAGAACACTACAAGTTAAAAAAATATTTGTTCTCAAGTGTTGTTCATGGATAAAATTTTTACTGATTTCATACTAAGAAACATTGCAGTGTACAATAAAATCACTTCAGGAGATAAAACTCGATCCCGATTAAGATTTCACCATTTCTATGTTGGCTATTCCTTGTTGTTATTTAAATTTTCCCAAAAAAAAAAAAATAATAACTCAAAGCCCTGACTTCTAACAAAAAAAGGGGAGATAATTCCAAATAAATTTATCCTTGGGTTTGTTCTAAATGAAGAAAAAAGGGAAATTGCCATTTTTTGATATCATGGTATTAATTACATAACAATGGTTACAACAGGCAAAAGAATATAATAATTGAGAAATATATATCAAAGAGGTTTTAGAGAAATTGGTCTGTAGGTATAGCACTTGACTACATAACACATTAGATCATACATAGGACGGTTTCTTCCCGATGTTACTACTATCATCATACCAAGCCATCATTTCCTCACTGAAATCATTAGCTACATTGTCCATAGGCTCTAAGGCAGAAAATGTTGTATCTAAACAGGACACTTGTGGTTCAACATGGCTCCGTCGATGATCTCTATCCCGGGCTTTTCGCTGGATTTTCTGGTCCCTGATGTCTTTCACTTCTCTATGCCTGTTAAAAGTTAAATTCCATTACATTCAGAGTTAAATATCATCATTTGTTTTATACAGTATTGTCACACAATTACAGAAATAATGATCTGATATCTAAATTTTTTTTCTTAATTTCACAATACCACATGTCACCATCATCACACTAAATAGTTTACTTTACCTGTAAGAGTTACTTCCCTTCAGTACAGTAGAGCAAAGGCCAATTTCAGGAACTCTACCTTGAATTCATTTTCATTGGCAACCAAAGCCATCACAGTATAATAACAGGCTCTTGTGTGTGTTTGTGTGTGTGTGTGTGTGTGTGTGTGTTATATTTTTGTGTTTTTGTTGTTGTCTTTTACTGGAATAGTCTACTTTACCAAAACAGATACTGTGCATGTTTCAAAGTACAATAAAGATATTCTGCATCAGTTGCAGGTGTGTCCCATGTGTAAAAGGCATTGATTGATATAGACAAAATTTGAACCATGTACTTTTAAAAAAATTGATATTTGAATCTCTAATCAAATTTTTGTTCTGGGGTCACATATTCTGACAAAACACTGAAAATCATAGGTTGTGTCCAGGTAGATTGTACAGTATTTGTGTGCTCATTGAGACAAAACAGTTTATAATGGATTTCATTTTAACTGGATGGTCATAATTCGGGTCGAACCTGATCTGGACAGCCTCACTAAGGTTACAGGATAACCTAAGATATGCTTTAATTCTAAGCCCCTCCCTGGAATCATTCATAAACACTTCAACATGATGTCACCACACATGGTATTCTGGATGTGTTATACATTAAAGGTCAGGGTTTCTAAAAGGGTGACATACTCAACAGAAAAAATGTTCATTTTCATTTACAACACAATAAGTGGAAAATAGCCCATTTTTTTTTTTTTTTTTTTTTTGTTTATTTTTTTTATTCTTGAACTGTTTTTGATATATCAACCATATGTATCGTCATGCTTTAAATTTTTCAAGCTATTTTATCTTAATATATATTTCACCCAGAACCCTAATGTACTGAAAACTTGCCTCAAAGGTTTATATCTGTATAAGTTTATTTTCAGTAGCCAAGAAATCTTACAAGTCCTACATATGAATCCCAGTTTGATATCTAGACTTAGTCAGAAGCTAGATGTTTCTAAACAGCAGTTTGACAATTACTTAAAAAAATAGCATGAGCTAGCCCACAGACATGCAGCAATTGAAATAAACAACACAGTTATATGTTTAAAATGTTTTATTTCAGATCTTGTTTCAATATCTCTATAACTGGTTCCAAGAATAAAACACCTCTTTCTTTAATAAACATCTCTTTATCATACATCAACAATACCAACATTTGTAATCAAGATAAAATAAATTAAAAATTCACAATAATTAAAAAGAGTAAAGATAAGAAACCATATTAGCATGATGTTGGTGAATTAATTACAAAGACTTAAAGGAATAAAAAAAATGCATAATATTTTCATAAGAAATAAAAAAAAAACAGTTGGATCACATGCGGAAACATGACGAGAGATTCTGTAGGCGGATGTGATGGCATTCAACAATGGGGTGAAAAAAGCATGGGAGATGACCTAAGTGAAGAAATGACAAGCAAGGGAGGCAACCTCAGTGTGGGTAACAAGCAAGGGAAACAATCACAGCTGGGATGACGAGCAAAGAGACAATCATAGATTTACATTGCAGTCAAGAGAGGCAAGATGAAACAGCAACAAACAGAAAAAAACATATGAAGTCAGCATAACTGTGTGCAATTCAGCAGCAAAAATTTTATATACATTGCGTTAGCAGGGAAATCAGCAACAGACAACATCTTCTAAAGTATCAATTCAAGAGAAAAGTGAAATGACAAAACACGAGTATTCCACTTAATGACCGTAGAAAGAAACAGCAGAGGAACAATACATGCAGCAGTAGGTTTTGTTGATAAAGATGTAAGTGTGCTTTAGGGTGTGCATGGAAAAAAGTTTTCTCTCAAACAGGATTAAATCTTTGCTGTTGGTCATGGATAATGCATGCTTGCTTCATGAAAATATGTTGAGTTATATTATATCTTATAATAATATATTATATTATATGATATTATGTTAAAAAGAATGATATGCTTTGAGAAAACACTAATGTTTGAAATTGCCTTCAATTTAATAACTTGAAAGAAACTTTCAAAAAAATTTGATGTAAAAAAAAATGAACTTGCTTATGGAGTATTTTAAAACTTATTTCTATGGTTGACAGCAAGCAGCAGTATCCAATGTTTAAGAGATGGAAATAACATTCTAATTAGTGAATGTCTGAACATGTATGTTGTTATAAATGAAAATGTGAATGTGAAGCTTGTAGGAGGAAGCGGGTGCAACTGAATACAAACAAAGCATCCAATCGATCAAGATTGTTAAAATCAAATGAAAACTTTAAAGAAAAAATGTATTCATAATTTCATTGTTCTAGGCACCTTGACAAGTGTGAATTCAAAATTATCCTTGTTTCAAAAAATAACATTTGTCTCATATGGCTGTCCATACTTCTGTAAAATCAATGTCACAGGAATTTTAATTTTAAAATTGGAGACAGATCGAAAGTCCTGGGGAAAAGAGAGAGCTATCTTCTCAGGAACAGTGCAGTAAATGCACACGCGCAACAGAAAAGTAGGTCCCTGTTTGCAATTTGATTTGTAATAAATTTGGGGAAAAGCTCTGTATAAAACTAGTCCATGTGAATTTTGATTGACAAGCAGTGTAGGTATAAAGGTCACACAGAAAGGCAACACACAGTAGATTGTGGGGGATCACACATGAAGATTTTGAGGTCACAGCTCTAGACTAGAGGGGGGCGGGCTGCCTATACACATCCTCCGTACTGAATCAGTCTTGACTAGGGTTTCCGCATGGTTGACAATCCACCTGTGTATATCTCACCTTGCACTGGGTGTGCGAGTGGATGGTGCAGAGGTCACAGGGGTGGCAGTCTGGTTCCTCACTGGGTCACACTTTTGAGGTGTTAAAGGTTTGTACTGTGTATGTGTGGTTGTCTGCACAGATTTATAAACACGTCCTCCTGTCGCTGTCTGCACTGTATATTGCACGTGAGTACTGTGTTCTTTAACTAGCTTTGGTGAAGCATGACTAGGAAACGGTGACGACTGGTCATATCCTTCTCGCTTGTGGGCAAGGTAGGGTGACATCTGTCGACTAGCTGTGGCAAAGTTTGTAGGGGGACCTGCCCTGAAAGGACTCTGTGATGGAGAGCCCTGCCCTGATGAGCCCTGTATATATGAAGGGTGGCGGTATGAGGTAGAACCTGAGTGGGAGGTTTCCCCTGAATCTGATGAGTGCTGGGAGGGTGTGGAACACCGCGAGCCCCCCATCAGCTGCTGCTGGTACTGTTCTATCATCCGCTGTCGCCGAATCTTTTCACTGTATTTATAGAAGTCTGACATTTCAAATGGTTTTGACACCAACTCCACACTCTGGTGGGGGTTTAACTTTGTCACAGTTACTAAAGCACTTGGATGTTTCTTGTGTTGGTGAGATTCTGTCCTCTTGGTCGTTGTGCCTGCCTGGTCGGCTGACTGCACGTCACTATGACTTTGGAATGAGCCTTCGTATATACGAGGGCTATAACACTGTCCTGAATAAACACTGTCTTTACTCTCCTGTCGCATGTGTTGAGGGCTCTGCACAATAGGAGACGGCTCCGTTTGTGCCGTGTCCTGCCAGCTATGCTCTGGCTTCTGCGACGTTGAGTGATACTCCTCATGCGATACAGGCACCTCAACTACACTGTTTCTTGGCGTTGTCAAGTCGTACTCCGATTGTGAGGATCGTTTACTCCCATATTTAGAAGGTTCTAAATCTACAACAGGAATATGAGTGTCACTGTCACTATGCTGTCTATCTCGCGGTCGATTACTGGGATGTTGATCCCTTTTTTTAGAATTTCGTTCTAAGCTTCCGTAACTTTGTTGAGAAGTCAATGATTTTCTATAGCTACCATCCAAACTACCATGTTTGGACTGCACAATTCTGTCATTACTAAACACACTGTCAGTATCAGGGTGTGGCTCCTTGTTGGTGGGTGTCTTGATCTCGTCCGTACTATCATAGTGTGACGTACGTTGAGTCATTAAGTTATACATGTTATTTGCTGAGCTGAACCCGCTATCCTGACTGTCATAGCGGTTATAGCCACGAACATTCTCATACTCTGACTGGTTAGACATGTTGCTTCCTGAGGACTGTGAGCGATTGGCCAATACTGGAGAACAGACCTTTCTGTTATATTGGCCACGACCCTCTCCACACAGCTGGGGACTGAAAGTTATACAAACATGTTTACAACAACGTTATATTTCAAAAGAATAGCAAATTGTATGCAGACATAGCATACAGAACTTGTAAAAAACTGATCCATCACGCCAATCTATGGCATTAAACTTGTAGAGTATTACATTCATATATCAAAGATGTAATTATTATAAATAAATCAACATTTGAATCTTCAAAAGATGCTGAACTTAATTCATTACCTTAGCTAAGATCATGACATCAACAATTTTTAGAGTCAGTTTTTAAATCATAATTTCTGTGTATCACACTGTGCATATTTACCTGCTGAGGGTAGGACTGAGTTGTGCAGGAGAGCTTTGTGTTGGTGATAGTTCTCTGGCCGTGGCAGATCTCTGCATCATAGGAGGGAAGTCCAAATCACCCTCCCGATCCTAAATGGGAGATAACTCTTATTCATAATCTTATTCATAATCTCAATCAACAAACAGCAATGGTCAACATCTTTGTAAAATAAACTAAAACATGTACCATCAGAGTTCTCTTACGTTGAGTGCTAATTGTCTACATATATCTAAACTACTTTCATTTTACACAACTGGTTCATAAGCTTATCACAGAGACAAAAGCATGCCACTTGCCAAAATGTCAAATGGCATCATGGTTTAGGAGAAGTTGTTTTTCATATCAACACATTTGACCGAATGCTACTTTGAAAGTGGGTCAAGGTCATTCATATCAGCAACTATCAAGACCCTTGGCTTTTTGGTTACTGAAAGGATGTTGTTTGAAGCTTTGAACACTTTTTTTTTATCTTAAAAAGACAGTCTTGGTCATGCCAATGAACAAAATACCAAAGTTAACCATCTAAAACACACCATTCTTCCGGCTTACATATCATGGTCCTGTGAATTTTAGGTACTAATTAAAGAAAATAATAATTGGAGACAGAGAATGGACAATTGTTCCGCACTAAAATAAAAGTCACATACTTATTTGACTGGTGAGATTAAAAGAATCTGAATTATTTCATGTTGATCCTCTATAGAAGACAGGATACATTCATAATATACCTGGTAGCTGGATATTTTTTGAAAATTCTATTTGAAAATTTGTGTTACTTCAAAGCCAATCTTGTTGTAAATTAAGTTATTATCATAGACAAAACCCTAATTAGAATTGTTTCACTAAATATGACTGGACACATTTAGAAGTTCTAAACATTATCAATACTGTATATTTACACTGGGTTGTATTAATCTGTACTTACATATTCCTGTTGGCGACGAAGTTGCTCTGGAGACTTTGTAGGACTTTCTAAATCTGCAACAGAAATCAAGAAAAAAAAATTATTTTAGTTGTACACTACCATGATCCTGTTTGAAATAACAATAAAGTTAAATTCACTGAACCAATATGTGTGATGATTGTATTAACTGTTAGGTAACTACATGAGAAAACAAAGAAAACATCACCATTCTCATACCTCGTAACTGGTCAACATGCAATCAGATACGATAGAACATATACAAAACATGCATGCAGTAATCCACTATTAAACCCTCAGATAAAACAATACCTTTGTAGTACAGAAAATTAATCACAGCACAAAACCATAATATCATAAATATCAATTTAGCAGCCTTTGTATTCAACCTGTTTCTGTGCGAACAAAGGACTGCTACCACATACAATTCACATGTGTCTGTGATTAAAACTGAGAGAACAGGTGAGCCAACACAACAGGAAATGATTAAAAACTTAACACACTTTTATCTGTGAAACTTCCACAGGTCAGACGAACTTTCTTAGAGACAGATACAGCCTGTCGACCCGTGTGTGCATGTAATCATGTGCATTTCACTCTGTTCTGACCCCATTACGCTACAAACGAACCTGTCTCAGACATACACTCCTCATAAAATCTAGCCACAGGCACCTAACTTCAAACTTTACAAACAGCTTAACAGAAGATTATACTTTTTGATGTGTGTTTATTCTTATACTCAATCTGCAGAGATTTGTCCTAGAAAGATAAAGGTCTCATATCAGTCTGATTGGAATCAGTCATTAGCTGACTGCTAAGTACTCATATCCTCCAGCTTCTGAAGTGGAAACCATTGAAACACCAGGAGTAATCTAATCTCCTAATGGTACAGGGTTTTATAGATTTTTTCAAAAGTGATGCACTTTGATTTCAACATCTCTGACTCATACCAAAAAATATGTATATACTCCTCTAGAGGGTTGTAGTGCATTTAGATATAACAGCAAGGTTAGATTTTATGTGCATCAATGCCTGAACCTGATTAAACTTTAATATTTCTCTATGTTATCGGATAGCATTACTTCACCTGTTTACCATATCAGTGAATTGGAAAGGATGCTTTCAACACCTGCAGGTGAACATAACAAGACCCCCTCTGATGGTCATACTCTGGCCATCTTCATCAGTTACATGCAAAAATCAGGACTATTTACATAAGCTAACGGATCTGCTTTACAAGGGAGATAATCAACTTAAGTCTATTTGTAATAGATAACATACAAGAAAATCCATTATCAGGTGTGATCAGATGAAAAGGTTCACGAATCCTGTACAACAGGTTAATGAGGAATTGAATTTTAAGACATAATGTGAATTCATTAACTCATTTAAGAGGTGCTACTGTTGGAGGTTTTACCGCCATTAAGTTTTTTTTTTGTGTTTTTTATTTTAAATATTATCGGTCTAACATCATTTTCATCCAATATCATAAGTCAATTTCATAAAATAAAAACAACTCTTGTTACATTTCCTGTAATTTTTGTGTTAGAAATGATCTGCCTGATTCATCTTTTAATTTAAAATCTATCTGAAACATATGTGACACCAGGTAATAAGCAATGATCTTCAGTAACCCAAGGGAGGTAAGTATCAAGTTTTCTCTTAAATATTGACAGTAAACCAAAAGATAAGAAACACAGAAAATTAGAAACCAATCTGGCAAGACAGCTGTAATCACTCACAGGAAATTCACCTTCCCTACGTTAGAGTGATGGACCTTAACCTCCTGAGGAGGAGGTTGTAACATGTTTACATCACTCTCTATACTGATGATATACTACTACTGATAAAAGACGATATACACAAGATTTCTCAGAATTGCATCATTGGATTACTGACAGCTGTTTTTCTACTTCATTTTTCATCATGTTAAGTTGTGAGCTTTTTCATCCTGTGTGGGTGTGCATCATGTAGATAGATAGCGTATTATTCAACATTACAAGTAATGCTACAGAGTGTCTTATCAATGGGAGGCTAGGGTTGTGGTTTGTGGCGAAAGGAACTCAATTAGACTTTCTACAAGAAAGATTCAATTAAAATGATAGACGATATCATTGTACTTAAGATTTTTTTTCATGTTACTTCTATGTAGATTTTTTCCTTCTATGTTTTACTGATGCACTTTGGACCCCTGGAAAGTAACCAAGAAGATCCCAGAACAAGTAAATTACTTCAAATACTTGTATAAAAAAGTTTAAACGTAAAATAAGTTTTTTTTTCATTTTACTTTTTTCATGCTGGTTGATCATAATTCATTTCTATACAAAGATCTTATCTGTAGAAAGTGTTAAGAACTCAGTTTTTCATCCACTCTAATTTTTTTTCTATTTTTTATTTAACGGCTGGTTAATCCTAATTCATTTCTACACTAAGATCTTATCTGCAGGAAGTGTTATGAAATCATCAGATTTTGATCTACTCTAATCTCTTTTTACAAACGCTATATGAATTTTAATAAAGTATAAGCGCCAAGTTTATTACAATACTTGTGTACGTAACAAGTCACCATTTGTTGAAGGGAGTCGGTAAGAGTCATATATACTGCTCATTAAATTAAAGGGTAAAAAGTTTAATATCCAATGTGAGTTCCAAGTCTATTTTCCATATCTGAGAGGTCCTTGTTATTCTACACGATTGATTTTAAGATACATACAGTGCTATTTTGATTTCTATTTTTTAATGACGGATCCCCATTCTCTACTGGCTATTTGATCTTTTTGAAAATATGCACGAGAATAAGTTCGTCATCTCCTAGCTGAACCTACCTACCTTATTTCACATTTAAAGGATTTTTTTTTAAACTGTTAAGAAAGTAAATATTACTTATCTGCTTTCCATGTTACAGTCAAATACATTTTATTATTTACCTATAGCATTATTGAGTTTGTTCAAAGTCAGTATATCAAAGATATTTGAAGTGGTTTCTTTTGAAAGTTTATTAATCTCTATTTGACATTCTCATTTCTTTTATTATCATCAAATTGAGTTCAAGTTGGTTAACACCTGAAAAGGGATTTCAGATTTTATTCACCCTTAATTTGCCCATCCATAAGAAGATAGGGCTTGCTTTGTAGGTGTAGGTAAACTGTAAGGAATGTGTTGTTATCATTGAAACTATCAGCCAGGTGCTACTAATTGGTCTATCAGCAGGTGCTTGTCCTGGGGCTTCCCATGGAGACTTAAAGACTTCTACCGAGTATCTGTACTTTGATTTTTCAATGTATAGGTATCTGTATTGTGTGAGTCCAAAGTGAGTCTGTAGAATCCTAAGTTATCAGTGAAAATCTATGGTGGGCAGATGTTTCCAGCTGTTGCCTATTACCAGTACTAACTAGACACCTTCAATAAAGCACTCAGTTATTTGAACCCAATTACAGAAGCTCTGCATGACTTGTAATTAACCATGACACATACGGTGACCATTTTGGGTTTTTTAATCAGACCACTTACTGAAAAATAAATTTTAACTGATTGTCTGCCCACTGCTTGTTTTATGATGTGTTTCACAAAGTCTATTCTCTTTGTTATGAGTACCTGTTATAAACAGCTGATTCCATTTACAGTTGGCCATCTGAATCAATTACATTTAAAACCACATAATTGGATGTCCAGACAACATCTCTACACAATGTTCCTAATGTTGAATGAAAATTTTATCTTCAATCACAATCTAACTGAATGATTGTGTTGTAATTGTTATTAATGCATTACAATGAATGCCAAAAAATGGCAATTCTATCTTGTCAAAATTTCCAAACTCATGGCATTATCAGTTAGCCTTATTTTCTACAGACATCAAACTTTTCCTCTTAACCTTTCTGTTTTCTGGGGAATTTATGAAGTCATTGTCATTAATTTGTTGCAATCATCACAATGACATTTGACCTTGCCCTATTATTTTAAGTATAATGTAACCTTTGACCTTAGTCTTTCCTGTGAACTCCTGTCCTTTGACCTTGATCGAGTCTTTTGTGTATATAAACTTTATAGACTATTGTTTAGTGTAAACACTTGTCCTTATCTTAATGCTGTCTTCTGTTTTAGCTGTCAATCTTTTGTCAGCCTTTTGCTATACTAATGACTGTGACCTTTGACATCTTTTTCCTTCACTATTAAGAGAAGCACTTTGAACCTGATTTGCATGTTGAAAAATTGATATGACCTTTGAAATTTCTTATTCAGCTCGAATTGACCATCAATCTAGTCATATGTGTCTATGTATTCATCTAGGATCCTGTTTCAGTCAGTGACTTATGATATTTCTTGATATTGAAATAATTAATAGTTTACTTATACAGTCAAACCTGCCATGTGAAAAATTCAAGGAAACCAGATTTTTTATTTAACAGAGTCATATGGTTGGTGTAAAGTTAGGTAGGGACCGACAGAATGCTTCAAATTAAAAGAGTCTTTGAGTTATACGAGTTTGAGTTAACAAGTATTGACTGTATATATACCTAAATGTGACTTGACATAACCTTAGCCTTTGTGTATTTATGGAAGTGACCTTGAACCTGCCAACAAAGATTTTTGACCTTACATGAATACTGATATTGTCTTTTGACTCCTGGTGAAAAAGGGAAAAGGTGAAATGGGATCTCGACTTTTCTGTTTAAATTGTTATTTCAACTTCCCTGTCAGCTGGATTCCGCTGTCCACTGGACCTGAAAGTGACATTTGACCTTGTCTGCTAGTTTGTTACTGGCCCTGAATTTTTTTTTTTTTTTTTTATGTTTCAATTATAGCAAGAATACCATAACTTGAAATAAAAATGATCACCGTGTTGATGTCACAATCTTTGCAAGTAACTTTATAAGTGTCATAATGCAATTGTCCCTTGTCCATGAAAAAAAGCACAATACTGTGAGATTATCATTTTTGCTGGGTCTAAACACAATCATTCAAAATTTTGCTTTAATACCACTTATCATCTTTTTCAACATTTTCTTTAGAAATGTTGTATATTTATATATCTTTATATTTTCTTCAGTGAATTTTGGCCAAACTTTATCCAGCAAATACTACAACCTTCACAGCAATCCACAAAACATGGTGACAACAGAGTATCACTTAACATTTCAACCACCACTAAAACATCTCAATCTCAAACACTGCGCTCTTTGTGTAAATATTATTGGTTTAGATTAGAAGTTCTGCCATGGAGAATTAAATTCTTTTCCCATTTTTTTCCATTACTAATAACAAAACATTAATATTTTTTCCAAACTGCCGTAAATGTTGGGAAGTGGTGTTTGACTAGATGTGCTGTTGTCAAAATTTACATGCAATGAAATTAATGAAGCAAATGAATACACAGATCATGAAAATATATATATTTTAATAGTGAAGGAGATGATATGATTGGTCAGAGACACCACACACAGGCATTATATGTAGCCACATTTAAAGCCATTAAACCAAAGCAAACGACACCAACAAACAATGTTACATAATGAACAATGCTGCAGATAATTCCTTATTCAGTTATCTCCCCCTAATAGCCTCTTTTAACATTTTTTTTCAATACATGCATTTGATACGTATACCAATTCTTTAGAAAATTTAAGGTTGAAATAATCATGGAATTCATCTTTTCATAAAAAAAATACCTGCAAAATCATTTTTTTCCTTTTGTTTTTCAGTTTCAATAAAAAAAAAACAAGTTGATAATTACAATAGGAATTCTGTCAAGCATGATAAATTAGAAGGAAGCCATGCATTAACTCTTATTTAACCAAGCGTGCAGTTTATACAGATATATGGCAGTGAAGCAAGGTGGTTAGGCAATAAATATACAATGACACACACATATGGATATGGAAGATGATACAGTATATATAATTTTCAGACATACATGATTGTCAGTTTATCAACAAGAAACAAGTCAGATCTGATTTTGTTATTTAAATCATCACACATATTGGCAGTGAAATCTTTATAACAAAAATTGCATAAAAATAGTTTCCCTGGATATCACAAAATGTCCTGATTGTCAGGGCTGAGATTGTTCAGTGTACATGTCTCCTTCACAAAATTACATACAACAGGGCACACACAGGCCAAAACTTGTGTATAACCCTTGGCACTATTGGAATGATAAATAATCTTTGTAGCACAACACAACAATCAATAAATAAGAGACAGATAGCCTCACAGTGTCACTAACACATGCATAGTTATCTCCCCTTTGTAGGGTTAGCTCCCTTCATTAAGGCACTTTGAGTATATATACAGGATCTGTGTTAAAGTTTGTCCCCGGTCACATCCAACCACTAGGAAACCAAAGGCTACATCACAGTTCCTCCAGATATCCAGCCACTTTTAGCACCAACACTTATAAGACACTTGGAAATGAAGTCACATCTTAAGACACTTCTCAATTACAAGAAGTCACACCTGACTCTCAATGGCTGGCGGTAACTGATGAATCTTCTCATAGCAGTATGTGTGCCAAGAAGCACGGCTGGCAGGAGACATCTCAAGCACAGAACAGTCAAACACTTCATCATCGAGCAAACTGGAAGAGTTGGTGCTACTGACGGAGGAGTCAAGGTCGTAACTGGACTTGTTGAGCTTGTGGCGATAGGAATACTTGTAACGGAAGGACTTGTAGAGGCGACTGGTGATTGAGGAGTGGAAACGCTTCTTACCGTAATCCTCAGTACGACTCTGAGACAAACAATCATCTAAACTATACTCTAAACTGTCATTACAACTGTACATACCATCATATGATGGTGTTGATGGGGTCACCTCGGCCAAACCAGCCTCCCGCTGGCTCTCTTGTAGCTTCTTCTCCATCTCCTTGAGCTGTGGACAATCAAATGACATAATTAGAATAGTGCAGGTGATGTAAAAACTTCAAAAATATATTTCCCAGTAAGACTGAAGTAATTTCTTCTGTTTTCATATTTAATTAATTTTTTTCTGTTCTTTGTTTGATTGATTTTCTTTTCTTTATTCATAAGAGAGGAACCTATCTTAGGAAAGTTATGAATGTTGAATGAAGTATTACACCTTTTTTCCTTAACGCATTTAGAAACTTTAATGTCACATACCTTGGTCTGAGCACGATGGAAGGACTGGCGTCGTTGCTTGCGGACGTATTTGCTGACATTCTTGTCCTGGGACAGCTTGTGGGCAGCGCTGGTGATCTGCTTCTGGAGCTCATACTCCAACTCAATACTTGACACCTGGTCATCATCATTCTGAAAGACAAAATAAACTCTGTAAATATCACACTTAACAATCCACAGCAAAGACATAATACAACCAACAACACAGCTAAGAATGGCTAGCAGTTATTATTTTATATATTGTTAGACAAATATTAGGGAAAGTAATAAATGAACTATGTTTCAATAAGTATTATATATATATAAACTTTTTATAATTGTGCTTACCTTGGTGGATAAGGAAAAAGCTGTTCCTACACGTCTGCGAATCTGTGGGGGCTGCTCTCCAGGGGCCAGGGGGGTCTCCTTCGGAAGCTTACCAGTCAACTCCTGTAAATAATGAACAAAAATGTTATAAAGAAACATATTAGTGTTTTATTTTATTTAAATAAAAACATTACTCAAAAAAAAAAGAGTTTATTTTTCTTGTTGTATTCTAAAAGAATTTCACAAGCATTTATGCAAATCTGAATAAAAAATAAAAATTTCAGTCTGTTTATGGAAAAGATGTAATTTCAAACATAATCAACTGATTATTCTTTTTCAACTGACCACCTATCTGAAATAACTTTAAAAAAAAAAAAAATCTGAAATGACAGTTTGGTGACTTACCCCTTCTTTGATGCAGAGAAGCTTCAGTTCCTCTGTACGCTTACGGAGGGATTCCTCAAGAGCCTCTCGGCGGGCTTTCAAAGCCTGGTACATCTCCCTCTGGGCCTTCAGTGCGTCTACGTGCTCTGGGATGTTCACTGTAAAGAAATACACATGTTATCAAAAGCATATAGAAACCAATTTCTTGATGCTGGCTAAATATGCCCTTAATGACCAATGGAATAGTAAATGTGGTGGGATTACCATACCTGGTATTGACTGATCAGCTCCTAACTACCCATCACACCCATCCCTCTCTGCCATACACGCTGTGTTAACCCCGACACTCCATCACGACTACTGCACTTTATAACCCTAACTCTTCAACCACTAAATGGTATCTCGAAGGTCTGTAGTAATTTCATGTTTATATATCCACTGCCTCTTTGATATGTTATTGAGATCATTAAAATCGGATATCCATGTCCCTCAGTCAACTTCCGAATTGATTATTACAAGAATACATTTACAAAAGCTATTGAACTTTTGGCAGGTAAGCATACATGTACCCGGATACTATCCCACTGACACATTTAACACACCTATTGTAGTAGTTCTGCCAGGCTAAGTACACACCTGTTTCTACAAACTATGGGTACACATCACTGCACATTGGAGTCACAGAGACAAGTGAGGCGCCCCTGTCTTAGAGATAGTGAAGCATCCCAGTCACAGACTCGTAAAGATTGGTGGGAACCTGGAGCACCACTGGACCAGATACTGTGATTAAATCTCTATGTTGGGGGTACATCCCGTGTCTATACATACAAACACTGACTCATCTTCGATTCTATACTTTGATATTTATTACGCATCCTTGGAAAGTAGAACTCTGAGTGCTGCTATCTTATCTATCGTGATTCAAGTGTTTTTAAGGATCAGGTTTCTAATATTTTTTACCAAAATAACAAATTAGAACCCTTAATAGCAACAGACCATTGGCTAAGCTGTACACTAATAAAAACAAGGTTGTGCCTTGTTATACACAGGGAACTATATTTGGATCCATATTTGATTTTATCGTATTTTAAACCTGACAGACAGCGATGATCTTACAATGACTCATTAAAAATCATAAAAACTTAAAGAATTAACAAGAACAAACAACATGGGATATTAAAAAAAAATATTTCTCCTTACATCTATAAGCACTAGTTTTCAAAAAAAATCATTTTGATACCATCTTAGCTTTCTCATTTGATTGTTTGTCAATAATTCTTACTTTGTATATAATATTCATGTCCTTAGATTTTTTTAATTCTTCAAAATGGAAAATTGCACTCAAAAGTTTATTTAAACAACTTTGAAATGTAGACATTATTTTCTTAAACAATAAAGAAACAGATTTTAGTATTTAGAAATTTGACTCAAAAATGAAAAACTGATGTTTGATTTTGGAAAAAAAGTTAAATCACATAAGCAGAATTTCAAATGAAAAATTTCAATGATAAAAGCAGAACTGAAAACTGAGAGACCATTCAGCAAATTGAAGATATACAACTAACAACATAACATAGAATACATACCAAAAATCTTCATTCTGAGAGTGTGAGTGTTACTATCAACATGCTATGTCTTACTACCTTCTCATTTCTCTTACCTATCTGTATATCATTGTGATGTCAATCTTATCTACCTTCTCAGTAGCATTACACAATTACTTCTTGTGACTCACCTGTTGTCACTAACGAGATTTAGGTACACCTGTCAGGTAAATGACAATATACAGGCCAGTTAACACTGAGAAAAACCCAATACACCTACAACAGGTGACCCCTGACACACCTGAGGAATGGCATTTTATGAATGGATGTCTAATTTTAGAAGTATATATCGTACCATAGTTTCCAATACAAATATAGATCGTGATGTTTATATAAAATATTGTCCACAGAGTAATAAAAGTCAGACGCAAGTATTTCCTTTCTGAAGTTTTCTATTTACTTTAACTATTTACAATACATATACAAACGAATAAATTATGTGGAAGTATTATATTTCTAATACTTGGAACCCCAAAAATCTACTGGCAAAACGAAATAAAATTAAAACATTGTTTCTTTATTGAGTGTTCATGAAATTTCAGTGTCGTTTATCACTTTTCCAGTACAGACATTACAAGATTAATTTAGAAATTTGTTCTTTTAAAAATTCATTGCTTATTTTAATACGTGTATCTGTTGATATACCACTATGTCTGCATTCAGAAAAAGAGCTTGGGACCGGATCATAGAACATATGCTAAGGGTCACGTTAGCCAGAACTTTCTACAACATCTTCAGTATGCCTTGTTATGCCACACTGAACAGTGATCTTGAGAAAAATTAAATGATAGACTTCAAGGTAAGGCAGTATCAAGAGCTTGACTCCTTTGTTTCAATATCAGAAGAAGAGCTCCAGTATATTAATTACACAGATCTTTAATAAACTTTATGTATATCAATTTCTTAAGCTGCTTGTTTTAAAGACTTAATTTACCAGAAATTATATCCTGTGTAAGTAAACAGGGAGTATGGTGTTTATACAGGAGCTGTGAATAAGCCAATTCTCCAGACTGGATCAGACCTTTACTGTTATGATATATCTTTTGATGTGACTAAACTGATTAATCAGAGACAAGAAGGTCTTTCATCTGAGTATAATCTATAGATAGAATGGTCAACCCATTCAAAATACATAGACAGAGTGGAGGAATGAGAAGGACGTTTACAAAGCCCAGATAATCCTATTTGGTGCCAGATAACTAAATTATCAAAGGTAGATGCGACCCCTATATTGCTGTAAAAACAGCTGTCTGGACACCAATACAACATCTCAACACCTTGCCTTCCTCTAGTAAACCAAAAAATCTCAGGTTTCCCAACAGAAAGTTTGGATAAAATAATTAGAATAATATGAGATTTTTTTTTAAAAAAAAAGAGAAAAAAAAACATCATACTGTTGTGCAATATTTCAAATAGTTAATTTCTAAATTTGCATTGATATAATGAAGGATGATTTGATTTAAAATCTGTGTAATATCAACTATAAGCAGAATTTGTATTTATTATCAGTTAGCATTAGAGTACAAAACAAAATAAAATAGAATTTGTCCTATGTGAGATATAAAAGTAATGAAATTTACAAAAATATATTTTATATAAGTATATACATATTTCTTTTTAATCTTTATCAATAATTTTAAAATAACATAATTTTAAAATATAATTTCAAAATTAAGCAAATATTTACCTAATACTAATTATAGTTTTCTTAATTTCTAATGATAATAAAAGTTTTATATATTTACATTCACTCAGTGACAAAATTTACATCCTGATTTGAGATGCATATCCAACTTAAAATGTACTATTTTACCAACATAATTATTAGGCTCCAAATAAATTCAATTTGATTAACTGTTAATAAAGTTTAAACAAGTATTTAATATCCTTCTTGGTCAATTATAAAAACTGAAGATTTCAATATTACAAATGATCATATTAAACTACCATATGGTGTCAAGTATATGGTAGAGGCAGGTAGGTGTATCAGGATGATGACTGAAACACAAGATCCCATTATTTGTAGTGGATAAGGGATATCACAACTTCCTAACATAGGAGATAAACATCAGACAATTGATGCAGACTTGATGGCTACATCAGAGAGGAGGACAAATATTGGTACTCACCAGAGTCATTGAGGAAGGAATCAGAGATAGGGGTCAGACAAATATCCATGATTGAAGATCCTCAGCCTCTAGATGTCAACAGTAGTCAGGAAAATGTCACAATGTCATTCCCTGTACAGGCTATCTCGGGGTAAGGTGCGATGTTGTGATGGGAATCAACTCAATTCTCAAAACACTTGGCAATCTTGACCAATGGCCAGACAGAACAGTGACCTTCAGTAATAGTGTTTGATAGGTTGAGCAACTCTATGGCTGAGTTCTTCTGTCAGACTGTCTCTACACTATCCAAGCTGACCACTATGATAACATTAGACTGGACACACACTTCTTTACCATGAACAGATCAATGAGCTTATGACCACACTGACCCTCTGATCTAGACTTATACCCACACTGACCACTGAACCAGTACAGGTGACTGGTCTAATGAGGTGGTAATTGACCAACAATTACCTGTACAGGAAACACCTTTGTATCATGTAATGAGACAACAATAGGTTGTTTACAAACAAATCAAGGTAATCATTGATCACAATGCCAATCAGCCGTCACTTAATCACTGACCTGGGTGTTAGGGTACACAGTGTAGTCACTGAGCTGTGACAATGGGGGGAGTAGTTCTTGGGTATGCAATATTGGGTCACAGGTAACATGTACCTGAGGGCCAGAAATACAGAGAGGTGTGTTAATTGATGTAGGGTATGTGGGTAAATGAAGTGTAAGAGTCCATTATCCTCTGGCACAGGTGTAAAGATCTCTGTGGGAATATGGTACCACATGTTGGAAACAATGGAGAGTAGTTTCCATACCTACACATCATCTGTAAGGTGTGATAAAGTCCTATAATACTGTACATCAACATTACAACCTATGACAATACATTATATCTATACAGATAATAGTATAGGTGCACATGCTATCTTAACATGATAAGAATGATCAGGACAATACCTGACACTGGTGAACTTTCAATCATTCTTTATTAAAATAATACCCATTATAAAGTGTTACTTTTAAGGAATTGCAATGAGTTTTAAATTGGTAAGTATGTAATATGTTTTTTCTATTGGTCCTGTTGAATATTACATGTTTTTTTTCTCCTTAATTTCAAACAAATACAAATTCAATTCATTTTTATGATTTGGAATGAACCCATTGCACTGGCATAAATGATGTAAAAATATTTGAATTCCGGTTTTAATCACTAACTTCAAATGCCATTTAATCAGCAGTTTATAGTCTGGCTATGTGCCAAGACTGTTCCATTTTATTAGTGTTACAAATATGATGATATTTAGAATACATGCACAGATATATCTTTATTAGCCTTCTGATCAAACTTCATCCAAGGTAACACCCTCTAACACCCACCTGTCTGCCTACCTGGGGTGTACCTATAAGTTCAGCAACCCCGCCCAACTGAAGACCATAAACAACCCAATCATGTCACACCCATCATAAACATGTAACACACTACCATAGAACCATAAATAGCACTAGAACTGTGGATTCCTAAGACGAGATTTCCCACTTCATTCTGTAGTAAACAGGTGTCAGGGTAGACACCTGGCCCTCACCACTAATTAGGAGGTACCAGCTGATTGGTTTATTAGTTAATTAAACAGTGTCAAATAAATGCCCCCCTGACTGGAGTAGAAGGTAAATACTCCACATCCAACATGAGTTAAACATAGCCTGATTACTTCTACATAACATATAGCTACCTCATAAAAAATCTTAATGAATGGTTGTAGATAAAACCAGAGCAGAATGTCAAGACCAATTTGTATACGAGTAAGTAATTTGTTTCATCTTGGTGTTTTTTCAAGCATTTAAAGATATTTAATTTAAAAAAATGATTGTTATAAAAAAAAAAAATAAATAACAATATAATTTCTGTTAAAAAAATCAAAATTTGATGTGAAATAATCTAAAAAATTTAAGGCACTTGATCATCTTATAAAAAAAGACACATCTAATAGATAGTTGGAGAAATTAAAAATAAGACAAGAATTCAGTTACTTAAGCGACAACATTAACTTTTCAACGTTATGTATTGGCATGTGAATCATATATACTTATATATCTGTTACACGTTTGCCAGTGAAATATAGGAATATATTATATCATCACTAGCGATGATAAAACTTTTCATTGATGATGTAATAATTCTGACCAATAAGAGCGATGCTTTCTAGTCACCGTATTAAAATTTACTTTAAGACGCAAATGAAGAAATAAAAGAGTTGGTTTTCCATCCAACTTTCCTTGTGTATATTTTGGGTTTTCTCTAAATTGGCATAAAAGCAGTTTTGTCATCACAATTCTTTCAAGATAACACGGAAAAAAGTTGCACAGCTTTTTTAAACCACCCATATAAAATGGCATTGTTATGTGCAATGTCAAACTATTTTGACGTGCTAATATCTCTCAAACTATTTTCCTTCTCGAGATTTTTATACACAAACAGACATATCAGGATATAACTGTTTCACACCAAAATCTAAGTGTAGTTTCAATAATAGAGACAAACTGAGGTAACACTCACAGTCAAATCTGGACGTGGACAGACTCGGTAGACTAGCTGAGCTGCCGCTGCGACTTATCCCGTCTGACCCAAGTGAGCCTAGAGATGTTGTACTCCGTGACAACTCGGCAGCAATTTCGTTGACACTCCGCACACAAGGAAGGTTAACCTAAGACAAGAAAATGAACGTTCAACATCAGAAGCATAATCTACCGAAATGTTTTTCTCCCTTAATCTTAATTAATCTGAGTCTCCAGCTTTGAAAAAAGTAACAAAAACCACAATTTAACTCAGTATGACTGAGTCAACAATGAGCAAAGTTAAGTGATGTAAGAGGTCAAGTGATACAGCAAAAACACCTTCACTATGGTAACCAGGCATTTGATTCTAGAACAGGCACATGCAGGGTTCTCTTGATTTAAGTGTCTCCTAAAGAAAGCCCTAACAGACTTCCATGTGGACATACAGAAGTTATTGATACAATTTGTTCTCAATGGTTGTAAAATAAATATAGTTTATAATAAATGTAAATATTTGTTGGTTTTTAACAGTCTTTTATAAATCTGCCCTAAGGGAGATGACTGCAAAGTGTAGGATTATATTATTGTGTACTGACCTTGCTATGTTTGCGGTCGAGATAGAATTGGTGTTGTGCTACGGCCATAGACCAGATACATTTTGTCAGCTGTGGTGTGGCCCCAAACCAAGCATGGACAACAACATTCCCTGGACCAAATGTCCGCCGACTCACTGACACTCTGAAACAGAAGCAGATATTGTCATTACAAAAAATAAAACTGAAAAGTTTCAAATAAACACTTTTATTTGTAGATTAAAACATTTGATAAATAGTCCTGAAAAAACTACAAAGAATCTGTCATGTTAACATGCGGTCAGCTAAAACCCGGAGCTGAAGGAATCCTGTAGTAACACCAAAATTTTGATCCAACCTTTATCTTAGTAAAAGACCTGAAACCTTGTTGGTCAGTCCATTAATTATAGATGAATTCTCACTTAAAACATCTTTAGCTGCTAATATTTTATGCTTCAGATGGGTAAATAAAAAAAATATGAAATTTGAAAGAAAAAAAAATAGAGACCAAAATGATACCTTCTTCTTGTCTTGAAAATAGGCAAAAATTAAAACCTATCCCATCTCTTCATTAATCAATGTTTTAAAATAGGTTGTCAAATTGATGGTACAATTTTTTGAAGTGGTTTACTGGTCAATAACTTGTATAGATAATAAACAAATATTACACAGTTTTGAATTTGAAGTGTTTTCCCTGAAAAAATAACCAAATATGGTAGATTGTTATGCTTCAGACAAGATAATGTTAACACAAGGACATAATATCCCATAATATCATATCTTATCAAGACAGTTGTAAAGCTTAAATAAAGTACCAACATTATGTACTATTAAATATATAATATACAAAACACAAATTCTCTCAATTCAAATAACCAAAAATTCCTTCAGATCTGTTAATCAATGTCAATGATAAAACTCTGATACAATTTTCATTTGTGATAAAAAGTTTGATGATCATATAATTCAATATTGAACTTTATGAAATGTTTTGGATTTCTGGGAGCATCTGTCGATATAGTTTTTGACATTCACTTTTTTCACTTTTCGTCACCCCTCCTGGCACAGTATAATTCATTATTTGGTTATGCTGTATCTATAACTATGAATTAGTATTGAAACATGCTATTATCCTGCGTGACTTTAGTACAACCCTTCAATAACTTTATCCCTGTTCTTTCCTGTAGTAATGGTCTGAATGTTTATCTCCCTTTCCTGGTTTAAATCCTAAAACATCAGGACTCTACGACTCTACTAAGATTAAGTCTGAATCATCATCTTACCTTCATGGGATAACCTAAAAACATCACGACTCTAATGATTAAACCTGATCTTTATCTCACTTTCCTGGTATAATCCTAAAACATTACCACTCTAATATGATTAAATCTATCTTATCTCCCATTCACTACGCAAACCACATCATGTGCTTTATCTAACACATTACAAATATACAATATTTTTCTATATGTCTATGAATTTAATTGTTATAACAAACAACATGAAACCTATCCTTTGATACACATAGATGTTCAGCAGTTGGTTAGAGTTTACATTAACACATGTACCACAATAAAATTACTGTATTTACAATACAGAGTAAATAAATAAAGAGTAAAATACACAAAAGAAATCAAATAAAGTAAAATCAAAGCAAATTAGAAATATCCAACACTAGCAAAAGCATAGCAAATATGAGGTGCAACAAAAAACTGGGATCAAGCATGACACAATCTGAAAAGATAACAAGCCTGGTATGATAAAGAAAACCATTGTGTACAGTGGAGAGTGATTGTAGAGTTTTGTTAATATGTCAATAGTTGTAAAGAAAAGAATTTCTGTAAAATGGAATTTTCATACCAAACACCTGACTTCTTAATCAGAAGACAAAGAGAGGTTTTTCCTAGAAGGTTCTAAAATATCTTCCACTGGAGCAAAAATTAATGTATAGCAAGTCCGTTAGAGAGATACTGTTATGTATCAACCACAAAGCAGATATGATGATTCTTATATAGCACACAGTCAATTATTTCTTGGTCAGGCACACTGACCACACACAGTATCCAAAATAATGGTGAAAGACCATATCTATGTCATGGGTGAACTTCTTTTGAAAAAGTATTGCAAACAATGACAGACAATTATGTTTTGATGTGTCTGTATAAAACTGATCCCACAAGACAATATGTGGATAGATGAAAAGCATCGCATCATCAGATCTTGTTGTCTCCTTAAAGAGTTATCTCCCTTATATCTCCAAGCAACATGCTGTCGTGCAAAATGTAGTATTTGTTTATCAATAGAATTTGGCAGAACCTTGTTAAAAGCAAAATGCAAAAGAAAATGCCAATTGGGAGCCAAGGATATTTTTGTTATCTGAATAGAAAATAAGATTTTTTTTCTAGAATTGAAAAGAGAAAAACAATTGAGAAAGCATATCAAAAAATGAACACTATCAATAATATAAAATCTGTTTGCCATGTTTTGGTGAAGAAGCTTGAAGGCCAAGGTGTAGCTCGCTGACCAACCAGTGACTTAGGGTGATGATAGCTCTCTTTCTATTGGTGGGAAATCCGAAAGATGTAGAAAGCCCTCTTTTGATTGGTGGATATCTAAGTACTTACTGAGTGGTAGGGTCAGAAATGGCGTTGGAAAGGTCATCAAATTCCTCTGGTGGCTCTCTAATGGCGTCCTCATACAGATTAAAGCTGCTGAGCGTATGAACAATGCTACAAAAGACAACACGCCAGCATACATACACATGCACTATCTACATGGATGAGATGTTTGGGTCAACAGGTAAAAGATAGGAAGGAGTCATGGTCAGTATATATACCAGTGTCCAACACCTACAGTGTCTATATAGGTACAATATATACTATTTCTACAGTGTCCAGTTTTAAAACAAGTAAAAAAAATAATTCCATTTTATTATATTTCTGAACAAAAAAATGTCTTGTGGTTAAAATATCTGTTAATAGTGAAATATCAACACTGACTTACACAGACATTGTTTACTATGACAACTGATTATATAATATAGACATCGGTACAGGAGTTATCTACCCTTATACAAATACTAAATGAAATAAGAGTTATATACCATTATACAAATAATGAAAAGACATTGTACATGAATTACAGAGAGTTATCTACCCTTTTATAAATAATAAATATGACATCAGTACAGGAGTTACATAGATATCTACCCTTATTCCAATTATAAATGAGAAAAAGTTATCTACCCTTATACAAATAATAAAATAAGAGTTATCCACCCTTATATAGATAATGAAAAGACACTGTACAGGAATTACAGAGAGTTATCTACCCTTATGCAAATAATAAATAAAACGTTGGTACAGGAATTACAGAGAGCTATCTACCCTTTAGTAAATAATAAATATGACATCAGTAGAGGAGTTACAGAGTTATCTACCTTATTCCAATAATAAATGAGACAAAGTTATCTACCCTTACACAAACAATAAATGAGACAGATTTATCTACCCATATACAATTAATAAAAAACAGTTATCTGTCTTTATACAAATAACAAATAGGACATTGGTACAGGAGTTACAGAGAGTTATCTACCCTTATACCAATCTAATTTCACTAAACAACAGGCTATACATTTGAACCATTTACCACACTACATATGATGTGGCATGCTGTCCAGAATACCATGTGTAGCTTCCCTTAGGAGGCAAAAATGTACATGGATGGTCTTACTTCCCCTGTACACAAGTTGGTTTGCAAAAATCAGACTTGTCTCCCTTGCACCATATAATACACATGAGGATGAAGTTAACGATAACACAATAAGCCTTATTAGCAAACAACACTGAGCACTGAAACTCAGACACAAGCAATGCAGCTCTGCCATTAACAATGGTTAGAATGTTTAGGTTTTGAATGGCATACCAAGTAAAGGTTCAATATCTGGTTTGAAATTTAAAGAAAACATTCACTTCTAGGGTCTAAAATAAAGTCTATAAAATAGTTTTGACAATGAGAGCACTAGTGCAGCAACTAAAAATACTTTTGGTAAAAGCAGCTTATATCTAGAAACTGAATAATTAGACTGGCAACAAAAACTTCACTATTAATAATGAACAGTTTTGACAATTGTGATGTGGTTTATCGCGAGGCTGAATACAAATATGTATATATCTTTAAAATTATACGCCTTTATTTATCTATTTATCCATTTATTTATTTCATTTATCATAACCTTTTATTCGGTTGAGTGAAATGGGTTCGTACTGAACACAACAATAATTCAAAACTACAGTTAGGGAGTAAACGTAAAATAAATCAAAAATAAAAACCACAGAGCAGGCAAAGATTATAAATACATACATGCCAACACCAACTCAGGCAGTGGTTGGGAAAAAAAAAAACCCACAACAAAGACACAAAAAATACAGCTTTCTTTTAAAACAGTTGTCTCCCCTATACCATGAGCTCTTTGTTACACAACTAATTTTCATCAAAAACTTACCGTTTTGGATCATGGACTTCAATCGAAAATTTCTTATCTCTGTAGTATAGATTTTCTAAAAGCTTCCATGTAAATATCTGAAAAAAACATAGAAAAAAATCTATGAATATCAACTCATCAACATTTAAATAGCTTATGCATCTCAGAACTGTAATTCAGAAATCCCCTGGAGCCACCTCCATGCTATCTTGTATCTACAGAGTACATCGGAGCAGACCTCAAAGAGATTTACAGCTTATTAGATTTCTTCCCTTCCACACCCATACTTATCCCACAAGAACCAAAATGCTGATATTAACCTCCACAAACCTATCGCTTGTAACCCGATAGCTAATTGTATGTATCAAGTAAGCACAATTAGTTTACACTTACTGACAACCATGATACCTTGTTGGTGATTCTGGTTATGTCACACAAAGACCACCAGCTAATGCTGTGGAACTCACACCAGTCACTACTGATTCTCCCCTCACATAAAACTCTGGATATCCAATCTACTCCAAGTCAATCAACAGTCAGTATACCAAAAATACATTATATGCTCCACTTAATGTAGAGTTCCTGTGCTACAAGTTCTGTTTTCTTTGATATTCATACACATAATTTCTGAATGTTATTTTTGTTGTGTTTTATATTTGGTATAGATTGCAAAGTTACACCGTGGAGAAATCCAAATCTACCATCTCCAACATTTGGTTCTCTAATCCTACAGTCTTACAAACAACACACTTATATATACACTTATTACATGGCGTCAGAACCTAAGCTGCGGAAATAAGACTTACAGTATTAAATCAGAATTGGCACTAGTTTATACATTACATCTATTTTCATGTTAACACAACCTGTTTAATCCAGAAACCTGTTTATAACCCCCGACAGCTACATTATCTCCCAGGATTCAGTCTCACTATTATTCAAAAGTAGCATACACTCACTATTACCATCAGATTAAAATCAGGCCAAAAGATGGCTACATAATCACAAATGCCATCCCAAACTTATTAACGTAGTAAGCCTGGATAATTACAGAGATGTGTGACGTAAGTTTAGATAAAATGTATTAGGAAAAACAAAATAAAATGACTATCTCTTATGTCATGTTACAGTGACTTGACCTTAAATAACTGGATCATGACCTAGAAAACCGCATCACCGTATCAAACTGCTTCATTCTACTGAAAGTACTACTGTCCTTATGTTAACATATAAAACTAGTGTTACAGTCATATGTCCCCTGTATATTCCTCACACAGCCTCCTTCTGTTAGTCCTGTGTTGTGTCTAAGGAAAAGACTACTGTGAGGATGACTTGGGGGAAACAAGCTCAGCAGATCTGGCTAACTGGCAATAAACTCTCTCTACACTGTACTGATGGTATAAAGGTGTGTTTTGCTGGCTGCGGGGATTATAATGAAATTGATTCACGGTCTACATTACTGACATCCACTGGTTTCAATCAACAAGATAAACAATTTACTGGATAACCAGCAAAGAAACATACATTTATGTGAAAGTCTGTATGTTTAACAACTCTTTTGTATAATTTTCTGGTTTCTAAACATGCTTTAAAGATTTGATCGCTCCCAATCGCTGAAACACTCCTGTTTACTGTACCTGGTGTGTGGTCATAATTATTTAGCATCAGTTTACAAATAGAAGACAGATCTTACGTCCTCAGTAATCCTTAACAGTATCTATGCCTAGTTTCTCTTGTATGAAACTAAATCTTGTCTACTCCAACAAACCTGACAAGGTAGGGGCCATCAGTGATACATCTCAGAACTGAATAGACATTAACTGATAAAAGTTTTGGTAATTCTTGTTCAGTGTTTATGGTCCTTAACATACAACATCACAACTAAAAAGACCGAGATCAAGTATTGTATGGGTCTTGATAAATTTCTGAAAGTGCGTAGGAAATAAGTTCTTGAGAAATATCACATCTTATCATTGCAAATCACAACACGAAAATGTTGTTATTGTAGTACTACAAAGAACTTGAAATTTATTTTTTTTCTTAATAAGTTTGGAAGTTTCCAGATATGAATTCCTATCTTGAGACAGGAATGTCCTTGCTGGTAACCAAGGAGAAACTTGTAACTTTTTAGTATCATTGGCTTTGTTCAAGTATGTACTCATGAATTAAGGAATTAAAATAAAGTCATGCCTGCAGAGTTTTATTTAACAAACTCCCAATGGAGTTAGGTAAGGTTCTCCAATTCCAGTCTTGCTGTTTGTGGGTGTGTGTTTGTGTGAATGTGTGTGTAAATCATAATTCTTAATGTTAAATGGCCATAAGTGAAGAAAAAAAATTATCACAACCATATTCAAACTTAATCTGCATGATTACTTGTATATCTGTATCCATTTAATATGATATGAGCAAATTTGAAAATATGACCAAATGGCGGACAAGGGTAACTCTGTATGCCCCTCACCAGAAAAAGGAGTGAGCATAAAAAATACCATCATACCAATTTTTTCCCATGAACTTTTCAAATTTTAAGAAAATTGAATTATGGATTCTAACAAACGACAGAAATCATAAATACAGGAATCCAGTGAAATCATCCTGACATGGTACCGTGATAAGATAAAGGGAGACAACTAACCTTTCTAGGTGTTGTTTTGTCTGTCTTGTCATACACTGATATCCCCTTGTGGCTTGCTCCTAACCACCAAGGAATCTCCTTTTTATCCTGAAATTAGAAAGATGTATTTAAACACAAAACAATAAAATGTTTAACTATCTTAAAACACACAAGAAACATATTACAATCAGATGTTTCAATAAAATGTATTATTCATGACAACATACAGCGAACATTAAGCTATAAACTCGAAAGAACACAGCATGAAGGTTTGTAAATAATCCTGACTAATATTTTGTCTTTTCACATTCTACATATTCTCAGAGAGTTAGTAAAGTATGCTAATAAAATATTGATATGTTTACTAGATCTTCCAGCAATGCACCTTATACAAGTTTGTCTTTGTTATCTGTGATATATATCAGAAGTTCTCTAAGGCAAAACCAGAAGATTTACACTTTCTGATCTGAATTATTTACAACAGGTGAATTTGTAAAATGTTTATTGGTGTACTCTAGGGTAAATAAACCTCATCTGTCTGTAGCCAAGGGATATAACATTACCATAGTAACTACTCTTTTTCTTAATTACACCACACAAACGTACATGATTTCAAACCTCCAAACTTAATGAAAATAGATTTTTATCATGATAGACCAACATTTCATTTAAGATATCTAAGTATGGCAGACTATAAACACAGCCAACTAACATCCAGAACAACTAATGTGTCACATTATCCGTGTAGACTAATAGCTATATATGGAGCCCAATTACAAAGATTGTAAGCCAAATTAAAGCTTCTATTACCTTATCTGGTATCACACTATCATCAGATGGTAACAATACGGACTATATCAGATGATTCATGAATCCTCGTAAAACAGCATATAAATATTCTGTAAATAACGCATCACTTTCGCTACATTACACAAAAATAACCCTGCCTAAAATGTCAAGCCGATCATTTCGAGGCAACACCCTTGATGTTAGTGAGTAGGGTTTGGTGGATGAGCAGATTGGTATAGAAATAAAAGCTGATTTGATAGCCATCAATAGGTAGAGCAGATATTTGTATATCTTACCTCATGTAACTGGTATACATTACTCATGTACCTTACCAAAGAAACCTTACTTGTGCACCTTACTCATGTACCTTTTCCTTAGTCAGTAGTGTACCTTATCAAGTGTACCTTATTCAATGTACCTTTTCCTTACTCAGTACCTTACTATTGTACATGTACTGTGCCCATTGTACTCTACTCATGTGCCTTACAGTGTACCTTACTAGTATACATTGCCCAATGTTCCTTACCTGGGTACCTTACCCAGTGTACCTTACCAGCATACATTACCCTATGTTCCTTACTCATGTACCTTACCTGGGTACCTTACCCAGTGTACCTTACCAGCATACATAACTCTATGTTCCTTACTCATGTACCTTACCTGGGTACCTTACCCAGTGTACCTTACTAGCATACATTACCCTATGTTCCTTACTTATGTACCTTACCTGGGTACCTTACCCAGTGTACCTTACTAGCATACATTGCCCTATGTTCCTTGGGTACCTTACCCAGTGTACCTTACTAGCATACATTGCCCTATGTTCCTTACCCATGTACCTTACCCAGTGTACCTTACTAGCATACATTGCCCTATGTTCCTTATTCATGTACCTTGCCCAGTGTACCTTACCAGCATACATTACCCTATGTTCCTTACTCATGTACCTTACCTGTATATCTTACTCACATGCCTTACTTGGGTAGCTTACCCAGTGATAAAGATGTGACTGTACTCATCACTTCAAACAGAGACATATCAATGAGATTACATACTCCACAGTCAAGTACCAATTCACTGATGAAATGAATGGGCAGATCAAGAGGACAATTGTGTGGGGATTACAGTTTACGTTTCTAGACAGCCTGCATACATCTGACAACTATAAAATCACACATCCAGACAAGGATATATTGGGAGATGAGATCATGTCCCATCTTTGATATAATGAAAGGACAGATAGCTGGTGAAGATGATGAAGACTTGATCTCTTTTATACCCAAGTGACCTGTTGATGACTGCCGAGTGGGAACTCTCCTGTCTGGAGATCTGAACAGTCTAAGCATCAACCATCAGTCTGATGATGTTACAAGTATACCCCCTTCCTTCTCCCGCCAAACCTGCATTCTAAATCCATTCTAGAGATGAAACTGGTTCAGAGTGAAATCCGAACATTATCCATCATAACCTTACCTCTTAGATACTTGCATATTCTAAATCAAGTGCTTTTTCTAAAGATTAATTTTGCATTTTTTTTTTTTTTCATCTACTGCAAAGTCAATTACAATAGACATTAAAACAGTATCGTCTCATAATTCCAAAATTTTGCCTTAAAAAACCCAACAGTCAATTTTCAAACATAAAAAGCATACCTCCCAGCAGAAGTGTGATAATTAGTTACAGATCTAGCAGTAAGGACTATGACATACAGAGTGTACATCACTCTCAACAAAAGCAAGGAGAAACAAGCTACCACTTCCTGAACATTTTCCAGGATAAACAGATTTTTTTCACACATTTCCCTAATTGAAAGTAAACAAATTGCCTCCCTCCAGGAGAACAAGATACACATGGAACATAAGTATAACATCGGGTCTATGTCTAGTGGTTGTGACATAGCATCATATACTCACCTTTACTTCGTAATAGTGTATTCCATATGTAGGCAGTGCTTCCACTATGCTCATATAACTGTAAAACGTAAAAGAAGATAGTTACTGAAATATCAGTCACATGTACCAACAGTGCTGTAAATTTCTTTTGTAAAGTGAAATCCCAAGGATCTACATTCTATGTTAAGTGTTATTAAGTATAAGTCCTTTTCCTTCAGTTTCTTAGTACAGTCATTCTCAGTATCAGGAAATTAGCTCCTCCTACATATCCTCAGAAGCAATGATGTTCTTCACGAACAGGAAAGTGACACAGAAATGTATGAATACTGACATAACGATATCATTATAAGATTTTACATACACACTACAATACTGACAAGCTTTTTTTACCCACAATGCAATTCTGTCCACAAATCAGGTACATACAAAAATGTATTTCTTCAATTCGCTGTGATAAAATCATACTGATCTTTCTCACAGGATATTTTACCTTCAATTTCACTACAAAGACATCAATTTACCTATTCTTAATCCTAGCACAAGTTTACTCCTTCGATCCAGGACAGACACTAGATAAATACATCTATTTCAATCCCTGTACAATTTTTACCTAATAAATTTGTGATGCAAATAATAAATACTGATCAAATATCCAGGAGGTGTTATTGTCCTAGAATGTGATACAATCCATAATACACACAAAAACATCCGTGTGCCTGCACCAAAGTCTATTAGATATACAGTGCACCCTTTCTCAACTGCATTATAAACAAGAGTACTATCTGGAATTTTCCCACACCTTGTTCCCTTCTGTAGCCTATACAAACCGCTTTTTAATTGATTAGTAAACTGGCATTTTCAAATCCAGATACAGCACTGAATATGAGAATTGATCCAAGTTATCTCTTTGTTTGCCACAATAGATGTCAGACCACTTTACCCGATCACTGTGCAGAATACCCTGTATAACAAGTCTCACTAAATGCTGTGGAATACAAACAACAACTGATTGATACAGGATTTGGCTTGGGGCCCATCATTTACAAAAGCTAAACTGTTCTCCATGATTAATGACACAAAAATGCAAAGTCATATTGGATTCTATATAATTTTTTTAATTTTTTAATTGATTCTGCATTAAAAACAAACTCCAACCAGAATATATTCATTTATAAACCTTGTTATCCTTATACATGTAAGCATCACTAATATTGTGGGCCTGTTAATGACTGCTAGACCTACTGCTGTGTAAATGATAGCCAATCTATTATCAGGCATGGATCTAAGATTTGTCAAGCAGGGTACTGCAACTGTTATATAGATAAAAATAGGGACGACACTGGTGAACAGGGATATACTTACTTTACAATAGACAGACCCCTGGAGGTGCACACAAGTTTCTTGTAGTATTCAATAACTCGTTCCTCACTGAAAAAAAAAACAATATACATAGATATATGTGTAATTTTTTTCTAAAGAAAAAGAATGCCCATCCATATCAGCAAGATGGACCCACTAACAGAAACACTTTTGAGCCAAAAAGTTCTCATTTTTTGTTCTGAGGAGATGGAATGTCTTGAGGATATAAATCTTAAGACAGTTGACAGTACTTGTTGGAGCCACTGTAGTAGGAGGTGTAATAAATGTCTCCCCTCCCACCTGTGTCTACTGCTTCCCTTCTAACCTCTGTAGGAGGCCGTGTGATATACGTCTCCCCTCCCACCTGTGTCTACTACATCCCTTCTAACCTCTGTATAGTGTGATATACCTCTCCCCTCCCACCTGTGTCTACTACCTCCCTTCTAACCTCTGTAGGAGGTGTGATATATGTCTCCCCTCCCACCTGTGTCTACTACCTCCCTTCTAACCTCTGTATAGTGTGATATACGTCTCCCCTCCCACCTGTGTCTACTACATCCCTTCTAACCTCTGTATAGTGTGATATACCTCTCCCCTCCCACCTGTGTCTACTACCTCCCTTCTAACCTCTGTAGGAGGTGTGATATATGTCTCCCCTCCCACCTGTGTCTACTACCTCCCTTCTAACCTCTGTAGGAGGCCGTGTAATACATGTCTCCCCTCCCACCTGTGTCTACTACCTCCCTTCTAACCTCTGTATAGTGTGATATACGTCTCCCCTCCCACCTGTGTCTACTACCTCCCTTCTAACCTCTGTATAGTGTGATATACGTCTCCCCTCCCACCTGTGTCTACTACCTCCCTTCTAACCTCTGTATAGTGTGATATACGTCTCCCCTCCCACCTGTGTCTACTACCTCCCTTCTAACCTCTGTATAGTGTGATATACGTCTCCCCTCCCACCTGTGTCTACTATCTCCCTTCTAACCTCTGCATAGTGATATATACCTCTCCCCTCCTATTCGTTTATCCTCTCTAATACCAACATATTCTATCATCACCATTCTTACTGAAGTAGAACAAAGTCAGAAATTTTTGTCTGACTTTTACATTACCAGGCAGCACAAAGTTGATACCACCCATCCATCCAACTGTATGTCTGTCTACACTAAGTTCACCTATGGAAGGACTGATTTCTTACCCTTCAAAGATTGTCACTATTGAGAATCATCACAGCATTTTATCAATTAGCATGTAAGGAACATGAGCAGTACATAATGTGTCTTCAGATACACAGACAAAACTGCTTACATACAGACAATGATATATGCATCACACAATAGATACAGAATTTATTCAGTATACCATCCATGCAGCTAGCACAGTCTCCCAAACTTCAAAATATTTCAGGAAACTCAAACAAGATCATATGAGCAATGAGATAAACATGTTCATATAAGCGTGTATTGTAAATGACACGATAATCCTAAAACTGCACTAAGCAAGCTGTTGAGAGTTTGTATTTTTCTCCCAAACAAACAACTTTATTCAGTGAAGCTGTCAGGAGCCTGTGTTATTGACAGTCTTCACTGCTTAAATTTCAGGGAAATGACAGTTTTGGTATGAAACATAGGCAGTACAGGAGACAGACATGGTCTAACCGCTAGGATCAGTGTTGTATGACCCACATGCCTGCACACAGGGACAATGAAGTAACCAATTATCTAACTCTCCACACAACCATAAACAATTGGACTATGCTTGTGTCGAGCAGCTTCTGTTTCTTGTGATCAATACCAGTTTTTTCTGATCAGTTGGTATCTGTGGTAACAGATCAGCCACAGTTTACATGACTCTCAATGGATTTAATCTAAATTATTTAAAGCTATTTACATAGAACAATGGTTAAAATATTTACACAATAAAGTAGATCTGATTGGGCTGTCAATCTTGTGGATAAATTGGGTTCACTGACTGGGAGCACGGGTTTATTAATACAATTGTTTTAACAAGACTATCTAAACTACATCTTGAACATATTTTCTTTCCAGATCTTTACAGGTCTCTACTTCCAATGGCTAAAATCAATCTGCTTTATTTGCTGATCTCATAGCTGATCCTGACAACCGATCATTTTTATTTACGGGTCCCAATGCTGACCCTGACAACCAATCAGCTTTATCTATGGGTCCCAATGCTGACCCCAACAACCAATCAGCTATATTTACTGGCCCTAGTGTTGACCCCAACAACCAATCAGCTATATTTACTGGCCCTAGTGTTGACCCTGACTACCAATCAGCTTTATTTACTGGTACCAGTGCTGACCCTAACAAACAATCAGCTGTATTTACTGGCCCAAGTGCTGACCCTGACAACCAATCAGCTTTATATACTGGCCCTAGTTCTGACCTTAGTAATGCATCATGTTCAAACTTACATCTAAAAGCTGAAGTTTTCAGAGTCATCATCAATCATGCTTTTCTAAACTTACTAAATCAACTCAGGACTTGCCTTAAATTGAATGTTTCTATGTCAGGTTTACCTCCCCATGAACAGCTAAGGTCATTTTGAGATGGATTTCCTTGTAGTTGCTGGTGCCTTGCGCACTGAACAACATACAGGAGGCCTGTCACAGGCCATCAAATACAATAAGGCTAAAATGTCTTACCCAAAGACTAAACCACACCAGCACATACCAAAGCATTTCTCAGCTTCCTTAGAAACATAACTGCCATGGGTTGGGAGTGTCAAATCACACACCATGGATCTTTAACAGAGGCAACATAGACCTACACTTTAACCAACTGAGCTATCACAGTCTCCCCTTTCATTTCTGACACTGTCAGCCAATCAGACACAATCTTGCACTTGGTCAAACATCCAAATTGCAAACCTACTGACAATTTATATCAATTAGGAAAGGAGACAAAATCAATGACCAAAGTGTCAATGTACCAACAAGTATATAGAGTTACATTCCAGTACACTTTGCATGTTGAGTCTTAATGTTATTTAAATCTGCCTTCTACCATCCCAGGTGTAATTAAGCTACACCAACACAGCAGTAGTAGAAATGTTTTTAAGTGAGCCTTCAGAAATGTAACTGTACATGTTCACAGCTTACAAGGATAAGTTATTTAAAAAAAAAAAAAAAGATGTAAATTTTGATTAATAAAGCATACAGTGTAAAAGTAATTTTCTTGAAATGTTGCAGACATTTTAATTAATCATGAAGTAATCGTTCTGTAGCTCAACCATGAAAATTACCTCACATCCCACATATACTTAATCTTACCATACCACTACTACATCCTAACGCACATGTAAACCACAAATATGCACATGTATGTTTAAAAAAAAAAATCATATGTGATTGTAATTTTTTTGTTTCAAAATAATTATGAACTGGTCACACTAATGAAAACAGCAAAGCTGATTAAGTCCATATCATATAAGCCTCCTCCCAAAATTTTTTAATAAATATCCTATGAATATACCATCCCTTCTCCTCTCTTCAATGAAAATTCCTGAACTGTTTTTATGATAGTCTCATCAATTAAGAGATCTTTCTATATGTTTCTCCTTTACTAATTCAATTTTCAATTAACAAGATTCCAACAAAATTAAATGAAAGGGTATTCTGAGAAACCTGTATCAGATTATAAAGTCTATACTCTTAGAGCTTGGTCATTCTATGTCAGCCATCTCTCCTGTAGGTGTCTATATTGGATTACAATGTCCATCGTCTATAAGAGATTGGCCAGTCTATATCAGTCCATCCCTAGAGGTGTGAGGAAGTATACATACCAAAATCAATAGGATTCATCCAAATCCAAAATCAGAATTCAATTGTGCGACGTGTGCTCCACCTTCAGAACAATATCTCCCGAGATATACGTGGCCATGTTTAATCTGGCCAGCTTTCCTGGGTAACTTATAGAAGCCATCCAGGATAAATAAAGCATCCTTTTTCCCCCCTCCTCACACTGGCCAATTTGCCTGGCTAACTGTTCAGGGAAAGAGCTCTAATCTACATAGATACCTCACACTAGGGGACAGATAACCTATAAAAAAATATCTCAAAAAAACTTGTGTGCCCTTTAAACCGAGGTAGCGGCACCCCGTGGGAGTCAAGGTTGGCTGTTTTGATAACCTCCCTCCAACAGATACATCACAGGAAATACTGGTTTATATACATTTCAAAGGCGCAGGAAAAGGATTAAGCGATTGTACCTTTACGGAGAAGCATCTTTACAAGCAACTTATCACACGGATCAAGTGCCCATCTTTGCAGTGTAACAACTTATCACGCTTTAAACCTGAACATTAAGAAGCAGCCGTGGGGAGCTCTCAGTACAAAATCTCAACAAGCCAATATACTCATGGCTTTTAATATTTTTGGCTCATCTGATTTTTTTCCTTCAGATGAAGACCCATAAAATTATATACATGATATGTTGTATGCAATTCTGTGATTCGTGATTCAATATCAACAGACAAGCACCATTACAAGGGTCTAGCTCTGATGGATTGGAAACATCTGTGAGATAAACTTGTCATCTTTCTCTCAACACATCTTACATGTTATCTGGTGCTATCTGTACAGAATCCTATCACACTTACATACAAATACATCTGTATATGTTTTAGTGTCTTGTATGTCACTGCAAATTGTAAAACAGCTCTTAAATCAAAATTGAAGAAAATTTCAACAGTTCTAACAAGAAAATTTATAACTATTTACCCATCTCATCCACACAGCTTAGTCACACTATTTACCCATCTCATCCACACAGCTTAGTCACATTATTTACCCATCTCATCCAAACAGCTTAGTCACATTATTTACCCATCTCATCCACACAACTTAGTCACATTATTTATCCATCTCATCCACACAACTTAGTCACATTATTTACCCATCTCATCCACACACCTTAGCCACACTATTTACCCATCTAATCCACACAGCTTAGCCACACTATTTACCCATCTCATCCACACAGCTTAGCCACATTATTTACCCATCTCATCCACACAGCTTAGCCACATTATTTACCCATCTC